TACTTAGTGTTCTAGTGTAGTGGGAACCGTGCACTTGTCGCTAGGGCATACGTGCCGGACTTGTTGTGCACTGTCTAACAGTGCTAGGGGCCAAGCGTCCACAGAGACGCCAGGTTGCGAAGACCTGTAGTGCCTGAGCTAGGCGACCTTCGAGGACGCTGCTGGTGAAAAAAGCGTTGTGTGCTGACATGGCTTAGCTCTGATTGCGCTTTGGACTCGGCATGTGAACGCGTTGAGTCTGATTGCATGAAGGATTCTGAGTGTTGTGGTCATCTTGATTGCATTCTCTCAGACATTGCCTTGGAAGAACCCTGCATTGCGCCTAGTTCCGAGATTGTTGATCAAGTTTCATTCACATCGATCGTTAAGCGATTGATTCCCGTCGGCTGCGCATGGATTGGTAACGCGGTTGCCGCCACGAATTCGGAGGAGATTGGATCTACTAGAATAGAACATTGCCTATCTTACAACGGCAATTGAGAATTAGTTTTGGCACTTTGATGTCTTTGCTTGTCACAATGATTGTTGTGTTTTGCGGATTCATGAGTGCTCCGATTGATCGTAGAGCACTGGTGCATGGAGATTGGTTTCGCGAACCCACTTCGGACGTCGGATTCGTTGAGGCGGACAGTAGATTGAACGGTTCTTGCGTCTTCGATTGTTGTCATTGTAGATTCAGAGGGGACAGCTTCATCATGGCTCGTCATTGTACTTCGAGTATTGGACACTGCGAGTCGTTGCCTCAGGATTCCAAGATTCCAACTCAGCAGGACTTTGACTATTTGCGAGATTCTTCGTTCGAGCATTGTTCTGCATTCAACCAAGAGCATTGGAGCATTTGTATTGGTCCTTCTGAGAACATTCCAAGTTTCCATTGTCAAAGCGCATCTTCTACACCCAACATTGGAGTTGAGGCACAGAGATCTTTGATTGGGTTCCTGCGATTTCTCATTGAGCACAACTTCCGTCTGTTTCTGGACTGTAAGTGTTCGTACCAGTTGGAGTCTGCCATTGCCATCGACGAGCTTCTTAGGATTGAGTTTGAGCTTACTCCTGATCTTTGATTGCAGTTGGATTATTGTCAGAGTGTCTTCACATATTCAACATGGCCTGTGCGACCATTGCTCATTTTTCGCTTCATTCGATTGTCATGTCATTCCGATTATCACGCTGGATTCCTCCGTTTTCACATCCATCATCATTGCCCATTCTCTGGTTCTTGTCAGCTTCATTTCTCATTGGTCTTGCGTCTTGAGGAGTGCTTCATCCCAAGTCATAGCAAACCATTGTTTTTTCATGTTACCATTGTCTAGGCCGATGCCCAAGACTGAACTTGACAACGGCCGGCAGAAAATGGTACCAGGAGCTGCCGTTGTGCATGAGCGTCGCAATTGTATGTCACGACTCATTGTAATAGATCTTATCCCAATAGATTGCATGTTATGCATGACTCCGCCGCTATGGCTGGTGTCGCAACATGCAGTCCGAACTATTGCGGATGAGCACACATTGAGCATGGACATTGCAACCTGTTTCCCACATCTCATTGCAATAGAGTTCGCCTTAATAGATTGCGATTTTCGTGTTGAGGACACCGTGGAGGCGGTGTCTCAAGAAACATTGCAAATTCGCACACAAGAAGGACGAGCAAGCATTAAGCACGAGTATTGCGATCTGTTGTTACGACTTCTGATGAATTGTATTGTCTCTGACGTTTCCTTGGACATTGTTCAAGAACTACTGAGAGACGGCACTCAAGGAACGCTATCACAGATTGATTGCATGCGTCGCCATCTCGAGCCGAGGGACCGAGATTGTAAGGATTGCCTTGACATTCGCGTTCATGACTTTCTTTCGCGTTTCATGGAGCATTTTGCTCATGTCATTGATCAATTGCGGCTGTTCGATGTCGACTGTTCACACATGTGCCCATTGCGAATTGCATTGCTTGCACTCAGGAACATTGACATGATTCAGAGCAGGCTCTGCATTGTCGATCAAAGACATTGCGTCATGAGATTTCATGGACTTATTCCGCTGATTGCAACTTCACTTGCTGATCGTTATTGTTACGTTTGGCATTCTGAGAATTGCACCCTTGGTTCATACCCCACCTATCTTTGCATTGCGCTCTTCATTGATTCGCTCGCTCAGGCTCACCATCATTTATTGGTTGAGCTCTGCTGCGATTGCGTGTTCATTCACTACCTTATGCGATTTTATTCCTCGATTGATGAAGAACACTGCTGTGCATCAGGATTGCCTGAACAGCGCACGCATTTACCACTTCGAGAAGATTGCGAGATTGATTCTGAGTGTGATTCTGCGCATTGCGGTAACATTTAATTTACTGTTATTTCTGCCGATCATTGGACACGAGAATGCTTGAGAGAGAGTGTGATTGCAGAGAGATTTGCAGACTCATGATTGTGCGTCGCATTGACTTTGTCCTGGAGATTCTCAAGAAGGATCTCGCCATTGGTCCTAAGGTCGTGAGTTCGATTTTCACTCGCCACGCAGATTGCTGTGAGGAGATTCAAGCTGACTCATTGTTTCGTTATGCGCCCTGTGAGGAATTGAGATACTGTGGTGACAGGTCTGGAATCTCGTTGAGATCAAGGTCACCAGACGGGTCTGAAGCTTCATTGATTCATTGAGACTAAGGTCATCTGTTCCATTGAGATCGCTGCATGCGATTTCGCCTCGGCATTGCACCGACCATGTCTCTGATTGCAGTCACATTGGATCTGACCTCGCATTGTCTCTCACTCGTTTTCTCTTCTCGACTGTTCTGATTTCATTGTGTGAGCACCTGAGTTTGTTGCTCAGCCATTGGCATTTTCGACATTCTATTGTTGATTTCGGTTCTTATTGTTCGTTCATTTGCACCATCTTTTTTTATTAAGCGTTTTAATTGTCATTGTTCTTTTGTTTTGGTGCTCTTTGATTGTATTGACGAGTATACCTCGGGATGCATGATTCAGACTTCTCAGATTGGAGGAGATCAGCTGATTCATTGCTACGCATTTAGCATTTCAACTTCGGTTGAGCATTGCGACACGGTTTCGCATTGCTCTTGCTGTTCGCGTGTCACTGAGGAGCCTTTTGGATTGACTAAGGAGCCTCTGGCGGTTTATTCTGGCATGCTTCTGAGGATTGTCCCACTCAAGGACACATTGACCCACTGTGGACAGATTGTGATGACACGTTCTGAGCTTCATAGTATTGGCATTGAATCATGGCGGTTGCTTATTGCCTGTCATTCTGTTCAATCCATTGTTTGCCTAGATTGTGAAGTGTCGAAGTGTCCGTCATTGTGTGTGGACATTGAGGAGTCACTTGTCATTCCTCCATCATTTGTCCTGGAGAAGAGCTATTGCTCTCACACTCTTCATTTCGCTTGCTTCCATTGTTTTGGTCGTCACTGTCTTGAGAGCCTCATTGTCTCATGTGAGTTGATCTCGATTGTGTCCGACCTTCACTGTATTGAGAAAACTCCAAAACCAAACCAACATTGTCTCATCGGTTTCACGAAAGAATTGACTTGCCTTGTCTAAGGGACCGCCTGGTTTTCAGGTGATTGGAGTCGATTGCACGTGTTAAGCGGAAGTTCAAGCCTCAGATAGCGTATTGCCTTAAAAGGAAGAAGCGTGTTGGCAGCGCTCCGCTGCTAGCGCCTTAAATGTGAAAGTTTTCTTATGAATTCTTTTACCGGTGTAAGGAAAAGAATTTGGCCACCTCGAGTTTTGTAAGTTTCCGCCTTTTTGGGCTGCTTGCCTTTTTGGCAGATGATACTTCGCAGATTGCAGCTTGCGTCTTGTTCAAAGGACTCTTCAGCCATCCGTTGCCTGTTGGCTTCAAGCTTGAGACAGGCATTGCATGTTACTGCATGAAACAGCAATGCTCTCATGACATGGGTGTTGCACTTGCAAAATTTTTAGTTTTTTCTTCGCCGGCTGGGCCGGCCCATGGAAGCAGCTCTTGCGGAGTTGCAAGCCGAGGTTCGTGAGTTTCAGGATCAAGTGGCTGTGCGCTTGGCTAGACTGGAAGCTCGAGTGTTGCTGCAAGCCCAGTCGCCTCAACATAGCACTACATCCAGCACTGCCGCTTCTTCTGCCCTAGGTGCTGTTGACCTAGGAGACGTGGTGTATCAGCCCCGCGCCTGTGCAGTCCTGTGCGAACTCTTGTCTTGCTCAGACCGCGTGCAGCTCCTGCAGAGCTCGCCTGACATTCTCGACCCCGCGCGGCACTCATTGTATCGCCTGGCCTTGCGCCTGCCTTTGCTTCACTAGGGGTCCTAGCCTGTGCTCATGAACTCTTTCAGCGCTGCCCCTTTAGAGCAACTGGCCGGAGTGACCCGCGAACAGCTCGAGGACGACGCGCCTTCGGGTGCTGCGGCTGCCTTATCTCACGAGGTCCCACAGAGCCCTGCAGCAGGGGCTCCCTCTGATTCGCCGGCTGCGGCCGTGGCGTCGCCAGTTCCTCCAGTACAGACCATGGTTAAAGGGGGGGGTGTTAGTTCGGTTTCGGTTTCTCGGGGCTTTGCTAGTTCGCTTGTGGGGTCAACTGCTGGTGTGGATGCTTTACTCGGTGAGGTTCCCCCAGCTTCAGACGCCGAGCGCGAGCCATCGTGCAATGCCACCTCCCTTTCCCACGTAGATGATCTAGGGTCCTTAGATAAGTGGGCTGAGTGCAGCCCGGAGCCTTGCCCCTGGGACGCTCTGAGTGTGTCGTCACTCAGTGTAGCAGAGGAGCCCAGACCAGTTTCAGAAAACTTGGATGCAGCCACGGAGGCCGCGGGCATTGCAGAAGGGAGTGACATTAGTGACTGGCAGTGTGTGGTGACGCCGGAGTCAGGAAATCAGCTTTCAAAGGGTGTAGGAGTGTCATCATCGGCAGTGCCTGCTCAGGTATCTGTGGATCGAGCTGTGCAGCAGGCTGTGGCCCGCTTTGCTGAGGATCCGGTTGCAGCCTTGCCATTGCCTTGGGAAACCCCTCTCATGAAAGCGATATTTTCAGAAGATGATGCAGCAGCACTCACAAATCTTGTTCCGGCATCGTTTGCTTTAAAGGGGACGCCTCCTCCGTTGCCAGGGGCTTCGCGTGCGGACCTTGGCTCGGCTAAGCAGCCATCAGCTTTGAAGCTTGAAGGAAATATTTGTGAGCATGCCATTCGGAAATTCCGTGACGATGACGATCTATTGAAAGAGGAAAGGTTGCTGCACCGCGCAACCGCCAAATGGGCTTTGGTGGTTTTTCGTTACGCCAGGGAGCTCGGCCTTGCTCCTGAGACTGAGGAGGAGATCATTGCTTGCTTTGGTACCAGGTCGGTGCACACTATCACCAAGCGTGCCAACACGTTTGCCGCTTACTTGAGGTGGGTGGATGTTGTGTCTAACTCCAATGTGTCTGCCTTTTGTGATGCAGCTTACTGGAAGTACTTGAAGTTCTTGGAATCGTCCGGGGCGGCTGCCTCGAGTGCCACATCCTTTTTGGCCTCCGCGAGGTTTTGCAAGTTTGTATTGGGGTTGTCCCGCGTGGAGGAGCCCAGCCGCAAGTGTGCCGGCCTCGCAGAGAAATTAGCTGGTCAGGCTGGGGTTGTTAGGCAGGCAGCGCCTCTGACGGTGGATCAAATCCTCGTGATTCATGAAGCCTTACACAGTGAACATACGAGCAGGTGGGACCGTGCTTTCTGTGCTTACTGCTTGGTTGCCTTGTACGGCCGTGCCCGCCATAGTGACTTGAAGAGGGTCTCCCATATTGAGTGGGATGTGCCGCAGGACACCGATCGGTCACGGCAAGGCTCCCAAGGTTACATTATCATCTATACCAAGCACCATAAAACATCCAGGGCCACGGCGAAGAAACTTCGGCTGCTCCCCATTGTTATTCCAGTTGCAGGAATCCACAGCAGGCCTTGGATACACGCGGCCCAGGACGCCTTTGTGGCTGTGAACTTAACCTTGAGGGGCGAGGTTGGCGGTCCGTTATTTCGGCCGCCTCGGAGTTTTGACTCCCTCAGCTTATGCAGACGTAGCATCACATCCGACGAAGTGTCAGTTTTCGTTCGGCTCTTGCTCGGCCTCAGCCGAGATGCCCCTAGTGAAGGGGATCGAGTTACGAGCCACAGCATGAAAAGGACCTGCCTTTCCTGGGCCAGTAAGGCGGGTTTTGACCGCTTGACTCGGAGTTGCCTAGGAAGGCACGCCTACGCGACTGAAGGGACTGAGGCTATTTATTCGGTGGAACTTAGTTTGCCGCATGTGCAAAAGCTTGAGGCCCTCATCAAATTCATCGTGAACGGATCCTTTGCCCCAGACGCATCAAGGGCCTTGATGTGGGCGTTCCCGCCGCCAGCTGCTGAGATTGCTTCGCCAGGACATTTCACGGTGCCCGTGGAGACTTCCAGCGTACCGCTGGCAGATGAACGGTCGGGGGCTGTGGAACCTGACTCTGGGGATGAAGGCCAGAGTAGCAGCTCCACTTCGAGTTCCAGTAGTAGCAGTGAGTCGGACTCTGATGGAGAACCAGAGGGGTCCCCCATGAAAAGACGCAGAGCAGCACTTGCGGATGATAAGCGTGTCGAGCCTGAAGGTGGGTGGGTAGTGCATCGTCGCTCCCACATTTTGCACCGTGTTTATCGTGACAAGATTTTGATGTGTGGAAGGCCCAGAACCCAAGCTTATGACTTGGTAGAGGACGTCACGCGCATGGGAAACCTCGTGTGCAAGACCTGTGAGCGAAACTCGGCTTGAGAGAGAAAAGTTCTGAGCTATGGCCGAGGGGCTGCGCATGAGTGTGTGAGTTGTGCACCTGAAGTTGGCATGCGCCGCTGGTGCTGTTGTGGGCTACGAGCCTCTTGAGCGAACATGCGATCGGGAGGAAGTGGAGGGCACGTGCCTTATGTGGGCTGCCCTCCTCCTCGGCAAGTGGGCATGGCCCTGCCAAAGATTCGACATAGTCGAATGGTTTGTCAAGTCGCCGTGGGCTCGAGTAAATGGCATGTGCCATCTTGTGATCTTGGGATTCTCAGCTTCACCGAGAATGCACCAGTACTGTCATGTCTGATTGTTCAGTGGAATATGACACTTGTGGATAAATTAGGTCCTGCGGCGCCGCTATGACTTCGTTGGTGGAATCAGAAGCCCATTTCGTGCAGCGTGCAGCTGAGGTGCGGCTGTCAGACGCTTCAGTTCAGGCGTTGCGGCGCCATGGGTTCAGGACCTTGGGGCAGCTCGCTTACACAGTGGGCCAACCAGGCCAGTTGATACCGGAGGCTGAGTTCACCGATTGGTGCCGCAATCATGTGCCAGCAGCATCAGCAGCTGATCTTGCATCGTTGAAGCGGTTATTGTTTGAGGCACAAACATTAGCACTCACGCAGCTCCGAGCTCAGGTGACCGAACCTGATTCAGCTAGTAAGCGGGTTCCAGAGGCTGAGCGTGAGCGCCGGCTTCAGCAGTTGCGGGATGAGCTGAGTGGCCTCAACATTGAAGGGCCTCTGGAGCCGGGGCGGAAGCTTTTGGACGAATGCTCTCATCAGGAAGCTGTCGGTCAATTGAAATACCTTTCTCCCGACAAATGTGTCAGTCGCCTGCATGAGGTCACGCATGCCAAGGATTCATCTCGACAGGTGGAAATCGACCAGAGTCGGCTCATCATCAAAGAAACACAGGACGAATTCTCGATGCCTGCATCCTCAGCCCTTCAGGTCCAGGAGGCGTTGCGGCGTCGGGGCCTAGCTTACACATTTGCCCAAGCTGTCAGCTGGAATGCATATGATAAGTATGTGACCAAGCTGTTTGGTCATATGCATCGTGACCCGCCGCCAAACCATAATCGCATTTCGGTGAGTCAGATCGTTGAAGCCGATAGGTTGGTCTTTACCCGTCTCATTGAGCTTAACATCAAACCCAAACAGGAACCCAGTGGCGCACGGCCTATGGACGAAGCCTTGCATGCAGCACTCGAGTCCTACCAGGTCAGTTTTGCTTTGATGCATTTGGCTAGCAAGGGGGGCAACACTCCTCGCCGACCTTGGAAGCGGCCGCGAGTGCAACCGGATGCCGCTGCTGCCTCAGTGAACCCGGAGACAAAGAAGGGCAAAGGAAAGGGTAAGAAAGGCAAAGCCGCACCGTGGATCAGCATCCCTAAATTCATTCGGGACCGGGGCGGTGTGGCCGTCACGCCGGCGGGTGAGCCCATATGCTTCACTTACAGTATCCATGGGAAGTGCAATACGCCTGGTTGCACCAGGAAGCATGTGTGTGCAAAATGCTTCGGTGATCACGCGCTCCTCAACCATACGGAGTGACAATCACCGGAGGCTGCGGCCTCTGGTTGTGTCACGGGTGATGCTCACGTCTTCCAAGGGCACGGCCCGGTCAAGCTTGATCCCGTCCTCTTCTCAGGTTTGTGTGAAGAGTTTGGCCGGCAGGTTCCTTTCGTTGATCATCCTGCGGAAGCTCTCGCCAGGACGATTCTTGACTCCAAGTCCTTTGAATTCACTTGCATAGCTGAACTTGTCAGTTTGCTTCCATCTGAAGCTCCCGCGCGTTCCGATGGCGTAAATCCTGGAGGCCATTCCTGGACCTCTGGCGCATACGTCCTCGGTGGCAACCTTGGAGCCAGGTTGAACATGAAACTTTTTCCTGCGGTATCGGCCCTACTGGCCGTTGTGCTGCGGGCCGCATGCGACGATGCGGTTTTCACCAGTCTTGCATTGCTTACGAATCAGTCTGCGTGGTTGCACAGAGACCTCAATAACGCCTGTGAATCGCTCAACACAGCGGTTGCCTTATCGAGTTTCAGTGGTGGCGGCATCTGGGTTCAAGGCGGCGGCACCGTGCAGTGCCCACTTGATCCGAGCTTGGAACCAGGATGCATTCACTCTTTTGCTGATGGAGTTGTGCAATTTGACTCACACAGCCTGCATTGCACTCAGCCGTGGGCAGGTACTAGGTGCATTCTTGTGGGTTTCGTTGTTAAGGGCTACCAGGCTTTCTCGCCCGACCTGATAGGCGACCTTTTGAAACTGGGGTTCAACCTTCCCGACTTAGGCACTGGCGATGTCTTCGCAGCGCCATCAGGGGTGTCCAGCTTTCCAGTTGTGCTTGAAATTTTCTCCGGCGCGGGTCGTCTGACGGCCCAGCTCAGGGCTCGTGGGGCCTCTGGATCTTTAGCAGTCGACTCCAGTCAAGTGTCTGCACCTGCAGCCCCGCCTAAGGTTCTTGATGTAGCGACAAATCAGCAGCTTCTGTCCTCCTGGCTGGAAGCCGATCATGTTGTCGGTGTGCATTTTGCCCCGCCAGTTGTGATGCCTCCACCCTTGGAACGAGCTGTTCAATACCTCGTCTCTCGAGCTGTGGAACTTGCCCTTCTTGTGTCCATTGAGTTGCCGGCGAATTCAACCTTCTGGAGCTCTGCAGCTGGCCGCAAGGTGCGAAGCCTCTGCCCTTACTTGAGAGTTTTCCCCCTTGCTGATTGTGCCGATGCCAACGCAAGTTCTTTGTTGGTTAGCAATCGTGATGTCTTCGATGGCTTTGCCACCGCTGCACATGGCGCGCCTGCTGTCTCCTCTGAGGCGGCTCAGCTTTGGGATCGAACATACACTTGGGAGGTAGCTGCAAAGTTGGCCGACGGCTTTGTGCCCCGGCGCTTCCTCTTCGCCGCGCCTCAGGTGGCAAGTACACGAGCTGCGACAATGTCCCAGCCCAAGGCCTCCAAGTTCCCCGCCCTTGTCTCTGAACATCAGCAAGTCCTGTTGGTGCGCGGTCACATGGACTGGCCGGTTGCCCGCATGGAGCGTTTAAAGTCTGACCTTGAATTGCCTCCTCACCTTCAATGCCCCTTGCGTGTCCTTCCAGCTGGAGCTCAGTTGCTTCGGGTTACTAAGACGGTTAAAAAGGGGGTTGGTTCGGGGTTTTCGGGTGAGGAGTGGGTGTCGGCTTGGGGTGTTCCTAGGGATCCCCAGGAGTTTGTGGCTGGGGCAATCAGGGCCGGACACCCTTGCAAGTGGGAAGCTGCTCTCCCGCAGGTACTGCAGGATGCCATCCAGCGGAACGCATCTTCTTCAGCCGAGCAATTAGCTCGAGACCGAGCGCTCTTTTTCAAGACGTGGCTGTCAAGGGCAAAGGAGTTGGAAAGTGAAGAAGCTTCCTTTAAAGCATCTTTGGCACCCCATGTGTCCAGCATTTTGGCACCGAAACGCTTGCTCTTGTTCAAGGAACTCCTTTCGGCTTATGAGTATCCGGATCCCGAAGTTTTCGATGAGATCACGCGCGGCATCCGGCTCACAGGCCAGACGCCGAACACTGGAATATTCCCGCCAACATTTAAGCCAGCGGTGCGCCAAGCTGTTGATCTTGAACAATGGGCCCCTGGAGCTAGGTCTAGAGTTCTGGAGTGCATCAAACCGCAAGGCGATGTGGACGCCGTGGTCCATGAGAAGACGGTCGAAGAGCGGGAAAAGGGATGGGCTACGGGACCCATTCCTTTGCAATCACTGCCGCAGGACAGCTTGATTAGTCGTAGATTCGGGCTTAGGCAGGGGGAGAAGATTAGGTTAGTGGATGACTTGAGCTTCAGCGGGGTTAACGAATTGGTTACGGTTCAGGAGTCTCCTAAACCCCACGGGCCAGACGTCGTGGCTGCTGCCATGTTGACGTTCATGCGACTCGCCCCAGGAGTGCCCCTTCAAGGCCGACCGTATGATTTGCGGTCTGCCTATAGACAGCTGCCGGTGCATCCAGAATCTTTGCGACACTCCTACGTCGCTCATTGGAACCCCACTGCGGGTTCCATTGAGCTTGATCAACTGCTTGCACTTCCGTTTGGAGCTTCACGGTCAGTGTTCGGATTCCTTCGAGTAGCCACAGCCGTGTGGTGGCTGGGATGTGTGGCGCTAAGCCTGTGCTGGAGCGTCTTCTTTGACGATTTTATTACAATTGCCAAGTCCTGTGACATCGGACACACGGAGGCAACCGTTTGCACCTTCTTCAGACTTCTAGGTTGGCTATTCGACGAATGCGGCTCGAAAGCCGTCGATTTTAGTACATCCTTCAAAGCGTTGGGTGTCTTGTTTAATCTTGCCCAGTCCCCTAAGGGGCTAGTCACCATTTCCAACACCCCAACTAGGATCACTGAGCTAACCACCGTAATTTCTACTTTGTTAGCCTCGCGGAAACTGACAAGGGCGGAAGCACAACGCCTCCGCGGCAGGATGCAATTTTGCGATAGTTTCTTGTTCGGTCGGGCGTCGCGCTTGAGCTTGCAGGCAGTGTCACGGCATGTGCATTCGACACATGATGAGGTGATTGATGGAGACTTGTGGGACTCGCTGCTTCGTTTCCACAATTGTTTGCAGGAGAGTAGGCCACATGTGGTCACGGCAACTCATCAGGACTCCTTGTTTCTCTTTACGGACGCCTGCTACGAACCCGGCGCTGCTTGGTGCGCGGGGCTGGGTGCCGTGGTCTTCGGACCCAAAGGTGAGTGCTTGGGATTCTTCTCCATGTGTGTTGGTGAGCAAGTGCGGAAGAAGCTTGGTGAGGGTATGAAAAAGACAATCATCTTCGAGCTAGAATTCTTAGCCCTACTTGTATCATTGATACACTGGAAAGACCTTTTCCGAAACCGGCCGCTTGTGTGTTACCTGGACAACAACACTTCGAGAGATGTGTGCATCTCGGGTCGGGGCAAGAGCGTCATAGCGAAGGCCCTTGCAACGGCTTTGCTCTCGCTGGAAGATGCAGGAGAGATTAGGACGTGGTTCTCTAGGGTTCCATCGCCTTCAAACATCGCCGACAAACCGTCCCGCGAGCTTTGTGAATTTCTTGAAATCAATGGAGCCACGATCGTCGCTGACGACGCCTCTCAGGCGCTTCGTGACTGCGTTAGTTTCCTTGGCTGAATCACTTGTGGACACTCTAGGTTAAAAGGGGGAAGTAGCTTGCAGTGAAGCACGCCGCCCGGCTGTGCTCCTTCAGGAAGCTTGCTCTGCTCACGACAGCCAGCTTAGTTGCAACCGCGCCTACTTGTGCAGCTCCTGCTGCTGTGTCACTCAAACCTTTTGCAGTGCGGCAGCCTTGCCGTCTCCGTGTGTACCGCACAAAGTTGCACTCGCAACGCGAGTGCAAACCGACTTGTCGCCCAAAGTCACCACGTGAAAAGAGTGAGACCTTCTGAGCTTCGCGAGTTTGGTTTAGGGTTTAGTTACGTTGCTCTGTGCCCTTCGCCCAACCCTAACCTGCAGCAGTTTGGCTCGAGGTGGCTTTAACTTGAACAATTAAGCGTGTTGGCAGCGCTCCGCTGCTAGCGCCTTAAATGTGAAAGTTTTCTTCTGAATTCTTTTACCGGTGTAAGGAAAAGAATTTGGCCACCTCGAGTTTTGTAAGTTTCTTCCGCCTTTTTGGGCTGCTTGCCTTTTTGGCAGATGATACTTCGCAGATTGCAGCTTGCGTCTTGTTCAAAGGACTCTTCAGCCATCCGTTGCCTGTTGGCTTCAAGCTTGAGACAGGCATTGCATGTTACTGCATGAAACAGCAATGCTCTCATGACATGGGTGTTGCACTTGCAAAATTTTTAGTTCCCGCCCACCCGCCCTGACTGGGGGAAGTAGCTTGCAGTGAAGCACGCCGCCCGGCTGTGCTCCTTCAGGAAGCTTGCTCTGCTCACGACAGCCAGCTTAGTTGCAACCGCGCCTACTTGTGCAGCTCCTGCTGCTGTGTCACTCAAACCTTTTGCAGTGCGGCAGCCTTGCCGTCTCCGTGTGTACCGCACAAAGTTGCACTCGCAACGCGAGTGCAAACCGACTTGTCGCCCAAAGTCACCACGTGAAAAGAGTGAGACCTTCTGAGCTTCGCGAGTTTGGTTTAGGGTTTAGTTACGTTGCTCTGTGCCCTTCGCCCAACCCTAACCTGCAGCAGTTTGGCTCGAGGTGGCTTTAACTTGAACAATTAAGAGGTGAGAATTGAGAGAATTCCTTTTGAGCTCAGCATGTGCATTGGCAAGACTTTATCATTCCTGTTGAAACCCATTGACCAGGAAGATTTTCCTTGGGAGGTCTATGACCAAGCATGTGTTTGAATTGCAAGAAACAAGAATTTATTGTTTGAAGTGAAGAGATTTAGCATTTATTCCCGAATTGTACAAAGTATTGTAGTGAGGAGCCGAACATTCATTGTCTCGAGCTCTGCGCACATTGATTCGGTCAACCATTGCTGTATTAGCAACATTGTACATAGCATGATTTGAATGGTATTGAAAGCGTTTTGAGATTGTGAACCTGGAGAGTGTGTGTGTGTGTGTGTGTGTGTGCTTTTGTGATTGTTGAATTACTTTTGCTCCCGCTTGCGATTGCTCTTAGATTGAGAAAGCAGATTCGCGCTCACGATTGCATCAGATTGATCCGATTGATCTTGATTGCCATGGCCTCCAACTCCGCACCGGCATTGGGACCGGAATATGTCATGGGACCGCCGGTCGTGACATTGCCACAGAGCTCTCCATTGGATCAGTTTCAGCACATTGTGAGTCAGGTGAGTGACCATTGCCATCCACCGAATCACCAGTTGCGGTGGCCGGCACAGATGGTATTGACCCGATTGCGTGAGGCAATTGCGATCTTCCATGTGCATTTGGCATGCATTGCTTCGACCTTGGAATTGCACCAGTGGAAGACTACGTTGATTGAGTGCACTCAGGTCATTGACCATTACGTCACTGTGACATTGAATGAAGGCATCATTCACTTGGATTGCCCAGTGATTCCTGAGATTGCAGAGATGGTTCATGATGCATTGACTGCATACTCGCGACAATTGATGCGATTCACAGGCAGGATTACGGGGATTGAAGTCCAACTTGGATGGACCATTGGTAACAAGTTTTCAAGGACATTGACCCCTGATGGATATCCTGTCCATTGTGGGTACGCAAATTGTGCCTATCTCAATTTGCTCCACGTTTGCAATCGTTGCATTGCGACCATGAGAGCAACGGACATTGCAGATGGGATTCCCATTTTCTCATTGAACCTGGCATTCCTTCTATTGGACAAGACGGTTGAATGCTATTGTGCATTGAAGTCCATCTTTACGCGTGCCATTGCAGTGACAACATTGCCCGCATCGATCATTGAGTCATTGAGCAGTGGACGTTCCACTGAGATCCCAACTCCATTGGGACAACTCAACGCGCAATTCAGCGTTGACGCGGCATTGCGCAAACTTTGCCATTGGTACAGGCAGAATCGCTTCACGAACATTCAGAATCTGGAATTGGTGAAGCTTCTCATTTGTAGACCAACGAAATTGATGATGGATACGCGATTGAAAAAGCCTGAGGGAGTCGGTGGATTCCTCAAGTATCACAATTGCTCGTTTCTCTCCAATTCATGGTGTCTAACCATTGACAGCGAGCAGAACCAGATTGGAGGTCCGTACACCTATTGTCTGGATGGACTTGTGCGCCAGCATTGCATTGTCCTGGAATTGACAACCATGAATGTGGAAGCATTGGCGTCATTGTTGCATAACTCCAGTTATGAACATTGGTTTCCGACAGAAGCCGTGCACCGCCATTGCACGCTTCCATTGACGCACATGCAGATTGAGGGAACGCCGGAATTGTTCCTATTGTCTGAAAGTTGCGAGGAAGTTGCGGCTGACGACATTGCGACCAGTGCAGGCATTGGATAAGGCACAGAGTCATTGTCATCTTCATTGACAAGCCAAGAATACAACATGCTGCTTGCGTCCTACCAAAAGTGTGTTCGAGAGCCTTGAGGGGGGGTGGGGGGGAAATACAGTACGACTCTGAACGCTTGAATCCTTGCGGACATGTGATTGACGATTTCACTTGAGCTTGATTTTACCTCGGCTTGATTTTAGATTGAGTGCTTGATCACTGTACAGTGTGAATGAGATCCTTGCACGGCAAAGTTACGACTCAAGTTCTTTTGTGAGTGGGTGGGCGTAGGGGACCTCCGGCGCTATGGCTCACCATGAGTGAATTCCGGCAATGGGCTCGGAGTGGCAGCAGCTTCGAGAAATCAACCCTGTTTTCTGCGAGCGTGTTTCGAAGGTCTTCTTGCATATTGGAAACTTTTGCTTGGCTGCAGCTACGCTTGAGGATGTACAGGCAATCGTGGATGATTCGATGAGTGATGTTCTTAAGATTGAGGATCGTGTGGCGCTTACAGAGTCAGTGCATAAGTGGTGCGCGCTTCATCAAGGGACAGTGGAAAGGACTGTTCGCGAGATCGGGCAGAATGTCCGACGTGGGCCTTATATCCGTCGTGGGCCCAGTGTGACGGCTGCCGATTTGTATGAGGGGCTTTTGGCTTCTGACCCTGTGCTGGGTTTGGCTGCTCTTGAGAAGAAGTTAAAGCTTCGCAAAGCTGGAACAGGGGCGCGTGTGGAAGCAGAGGACTTGTGCAGGCGCCGCTGGGGTCTCAAGCTCGCGGGCTACATCCAGGAGGCGGATCTGCCAGCATCTGAGAGAATTGGGTCGCTGGCTGACGCGGAATCGGCCTGGCTACGGGCTTTCGGTAGCAGGCGCGGCAAGACCTTGAAGAATCGGGCTCGCACGTGGGAGCCGGTGCGCGAGTGGATGATTCAGGCGACCGGGAAACCTTGGCCAGGAGACGCATCGCTGTTGCTGCAGTACTTTGATGAGAGGCATCAGATCAGGCCGATGGGGAAGACTGTTCCGCAGAGTATCTTGTCAAGCCTCGGTTTGCTGGAGCTGGTTGGGCAGAGGCCTTCAGCAGATAGGCTGTCGGAGGATCCTTTACTTGTGGAGTCTGTGAAGGCATGGACGATGCAATTGGAGACAGGTGCCGAGCCGGTCAAGCAGGCGGAGCTCGTTACGGTGGCAATGGTGCTCTCGGCTGAGATTCTGCTGGTGAAGGTCGGGACACCCCCTGGGCTGCGGTTCGGATGCTTCATTTTCTTGCTGATGTGTTGGGGAACGCTGCGATGTGACGATATACAGGGGATCGATCCTTCGAGTGTTACGCTGTCACAGCTTGGAATGAAATTTGTTCTTTCCCGGACCAAGACCTCTGGACCTGGAAAACGGATCGGGCAGCTGCACGGATACCTTGTGAGGAGCATAAGCCTTTCTGGCTATGACTGGATTGCGCATTCATGCAAACTCTTGATGAGCGAGGATTTCAAGTTTGCTCGGGATTTCTTGTGTCCAGACATTGGTGAGTCGTGGGAAGTCAAGTCGAGGGAGTACGTTGGAGCAGAGGGCGTCGCCAACCTTGTACGACGTGTGATCCTGGAGCTGCCGGTCCCGGGGAAGAAAGATGGAGTCTGGGGTCTGAGCAAGACAACCAAGCTGGTTCCGAAGGAGCTGGCGCTCTTCTGGTCCGGGCACTCACCGAGGCATTTCCTTCCATCCTTGGCGGCAGCAATTGGGATCGATGAAAAGAAGCGCGACTTTCTCGGACGGTGGGCGGCTGCCCGGCAGGGGTCAACCGCTTATGTGCTTACGGCCAGACAAATTATACAGCAAGTTCAGGCTGAGGTGTGCGAAACACTCTTGACTGGGAAGAACCAGCCCGGCTACATCGAGGAGGAGCTGCTTCTTCGCTTAAAGGCGTTTGCGGAGCAACATGGGGTTTCTAACGGGGCTGTTGCACGCCACAATGTCATGGTGTGGTGTGCACTCAACTTGTGCTGGAGTCTTCAAGGAAAGTTTCCGGCAATTGCAGTTGACCCCGGAAGCCATCAGCAAGCGGTGGCCGAGCCACCGAAGGACCAGCCGGCGCCTTCTCCGGAGGATGCAGATGCGCCATACTTTGTTGTTGTGAGTCGTAGTGGGCACAGACGTCTTCACATGTCACGCACTTGTGCTGTAAGGCAGGAGCGTTGCTTGGAGACCATTCCTTTGTACAGCATCACTCAGGATTCTGCAGATGCAATTTGTAAGTTATGCAGGCCCCGGCTAAAGGAGCAAGGGGCGGTCAGCAGTGAGTCCGCATCCTCAGATGCAGTGGAGCCGTGACACATGAGGGGTGTGAAAATTTCGTCGCATCAGGGGCTTGTCCCGTGAGTCAAAGCAGGAAGTACTTCGGTTGTGCCACGTCCCGTGAGTATCAGATTGGGACATTGCATCAGATTGAGAAGAGCCGCAGTCACGTCAGTATCAGGTGCAGTGCTTTGACATGTCTTTCTTGTCTTAACGTTGTGCGAATTGAGGTGAGCCAATCAGACTCTTCAGACACAGTGGCATTTCTTCACACAGTGTGTTCGGTGGTAGCTTGCAGTGAGTTCCAGACATGGATTTGCCAGCTGGAGTGAGTGAGGAAGCGGCTTCGAAGTTCTTGTCCACTGAAGTCGATGCTGAACTTGCACACATCCTTCAGGAAGCTGGAGTCCCGCTTGGATTGCAGTACAAACTCACACAGTCTTTCAAGACTGTGAGGCGGTTTCAGTCTTATGAGGACACCCGTGCAGGGATACGAGATGCATTGAAGAACGATTTCGCTCTGGAGCCTACCACTCTTGATAAGCGCGCTGGGATCTCAGCTGTGATTAGTGCTTGGGAGGCATGTCAACAATTTGCCGCGAAAGAGCAGGAGCTTCGCGCGGAAGCGCGCGTGTTGGGGGTTTCAAGGCCCGTCACACAGACAGATCGGAGTGCGATGAGAGCCGCCTTCGAGGCGACCCACGGCAGGCTTGAAGATGCACATGAGCCTTCCGAGGATTACATCTCATGCAAGATGGAGGAGCTTGAGGCTCATGAGCCGACGGCTTCGCCGCTGTCCGAGGTGACATCACGCAAGACTGTGAAGACTCAGGGGATCCAGACTGCAGTCGATTCTTCAGGCCATGTTCGCATCGTGCGGACAAAGGTCAAGGGATCATTGCCTCAGGGCACTGAGGAATTGCGCACGGTGATGCGTGTTGAGTGCAACTTGTGGTGCTTCTTGGCGACCAAGTATCGCAACCGCGAGCTCTTGCGAGGCATGGACCCCGAGTGCTGGAATCAGTATGTTGCTTTTCTGCTGTCTGACAAGGTTTACCTTATGAAGGTGCCGATGGCAGGGGGCAAGGGCAATCAGACCGAACATGTACCATTGCGGCCCCCTTGGTCAGTGTTGCTGAATTTCGAGTTTGAGCTGCGAAAGGAGGCAATCAAACGGGCTGTGCAGGGCAATCGGCCTTTGAAGGATACACTCGTGGAGGTGACGTCCGATGCTCAGCTCAAGGAGCAATATTTCACATCGCCCATTGCCCTTCAGCAGGTTGCACCTCCACCGCGGCCAGATCCTTTCTGGCCACAGCGACGGTTCCGACAGTGGGACAATGATTGGTCCGAGAGCCCGGCCAAGTGGCAGCGAACAGGCAAAGGACGTGGCCATGGAAAGGGCAAGAACGGCAAGGGGGGCAAGGCCAACCGCGATGAATCCAAGGGCGATGGCAAGGGCCTCGGCGGTGGCAAGGGCAAGAGTGATCATGCGCTCTGGACACACACGCCGGATGGACGTCAGATTTGTTTTCCATATAACGCTCAGGGTTGTGATGGCAGCTGCGGTCGAGTTCATGTATGTCGCGTCCGAGGGTGCATGCAGTCCCATCCGATGTGGCAGCATTTCCAGAGCTTGGCAGCAAAGGCGGCAGCACCGACCGGGGCGCAAGCCACCAACTGACGTTCCAAACTCACCGTGCTGTATCTTTTCGCTGGGCAGGCACGGGATGGAGATATCAGATCACACTTACAGCAGCTCTGCACGTCGCGGGGACTGGATTTAATTTTACATGAGTTTGATTTGCTGCGGGGTCCTGAACAGGACCTATCGTCGCACAGGCTTTGGGAGCGTCTTTTCAAGGACATTTCGTCTGGGGCCTATGATATCCTTATTTTGAGCCCGCCTTGTTCCACTTTTTCGCGGGCTAGACATCGTTTTGCGGGGGCATTTGGCCCACGCCCACTTCGTTCACATGGCCATCTGCTGGGTTTTCCTTGGTTGCGTGATTCAGATCGCACAAAAGTTGAGCTGGCAAATTTCTTCGTGCAACAATCTTTTGAGGCCATCCGTTTACAGAGGCAGCAGGGCTTGTACTTCATTCTTGAGCACCCTGAGGATCTGGGCCGTGTGCCGTCTGGTGAGAGGCCTGCTTCCATTTGGTCTTTTGATGAGGTTCGTCAGATTTGCGCTGGAGGCGATGTCAGTTGCTGGGCATTGCATCAATGCCTTTTCGGGGCTATGTCTTGCAAACCCACTCGCTTGTTATCCAATCTGCCCGGAGCATTGAACTTTGGGATACGGATGCCATGTTTCAATGATGACGGGGACTACGTGGGGCCGCTCTTGCGCTGTCCGCATTCACATGCAGATCGAGCCTGCGGTTTTCAGGATGGCACTTGGAAATCGGCCGCCACGGCGGCTTACCCTTCGGAGTTCGCTGCTTTCTTCGCCCGTCTCTCTTTGAGTGTGGTGCCTGAGCTGAGGGCCGTGGCTGACTCCGACCTGATCCCAGCCAACATCCCTTCATCCGCCGAAGCCTTTGCCACGGAGTGCATCGCACGCGGTTCTTTCGATCGTGCTTCAGTTCAGATTCTTTTCGACTTGCTTCCTAAGACTCGGCCTCATAAGATCACAGGCAGTGCAGAACCTGGCACCGCTTTCTTTGGAGGCACTGTGCACCAGGAGGGTCTCACCGCACCGCGGTCCACTTGTTTTACATTCCCCGAGTCCATGCGTGTGATCAATGCTTTTCTTCACTCCGTGGACCCGCACCACCGTTACGCTGCTTTTGTTCTCACAAAGAACGTGACTAGTGAGGTTCATCGTGATCCGCGAAATGCAGCTGTGCCCAACATGATTGTGGCAATTTCCTCCTTTACTGATGGTGGCATTTGGATACAGGATGACTCAGGCACCCAGGTGCGATCCTTTCACGGCTCGCCCGTCACAGGCACTGTACACTCCTTACAAGACGGACCCGTCTACCTGGATGCCCGTGGATGTTTGCATGCTACCCAACCTTGGGTTGGGGATCGCCTCATCGCCATTGCATACACCCCTCAGAACATGCACCTGCTCTCTGTTGATGATTCGGCTTTTCTGGCTTCATTGGGCTTTCCTGTCTTGGATTCCTCTCCTGCGGGGGGGGAGGCACCAGCGGAATCCTTCGTTTCCTCAGACAACTTCACCTTGGCTGCAGCAGTGCCGGCGATAGACAACTCAGGCACTGGAGATGCTCAGGAGGTCGTGGTCATCGATCATGAGGAGTCGGCCAGGGAAGCTTTTGACCCCAAGACTAGTCGCGCTTTCGGGCAGCCCATGATCTGCAAGTTTGAAATGGGCAAGCAAGAGTTTGTGGACGGCTTCGGGTTGTGTTCGCCTGGCCGTTGGGCTCCCGAGGCGAGAGAGAAGTTGGCGTCGAGTGATGAGGTGGCACATGCAGAGGGAATTCGCGGATTGCTACGAGACTTTGTGATTGATCAGCTGAAAGACCCCAAGGACATGGCGTTCCGTCTCGCGACGGGCCATGTGAAGAATTCTCCTTTCGCGGAGTCTGCCTTGCAGAAGTTGAGGCAGAGGATCGTCGGGTTGATCCCAGGGGCGCCTTCAGACCTGCTGCGTGTTCCCGAGCGGCAGCCGTTCCACTTGTACTTGCTGGCCGAGTCGCTGAGGCTACTTGGTGACCCCGACTGGGAGATTCTTGTGCAGGGGGAAGAGTGTTATGCCGAGGGGATGCCGGTGGGCTTCGACTCGCCACTGCCAACGGCGCCGCAGGTGTTCCGGCCGAGGGACCGCTTCCGCAAGCTGGATGAGAGTGAGTTTGAACCGCAGATGCAGAACTACTCTTCTGCCGAGCTGTCTTCAGATAAGATCGAAGAGCACTTCAGGGCTGAGGAGCGGGAAGGCTTGATGGTGGCGACGACTGAAGGGGCCGTGAAGGCGGAGTACGGCGAGGGGCGACTTCTGGTGGCCGCCATGGGGGCCATTCTTAAACCAAGTGGTGATGTCCGCCCTCTTCACGACGCCACCCACGGCGTCCGCTTGAACAATGGTATAAGGATTGCAGACAAACTCGAAGTGCCTGGACCTGCGGAAATCATCGAGACCGTGTCCAGGGCGCGGCAGGATTTCGGCGTCCCCTTCTCCATTGCGGCGGACATTGCCAAGGCACACAGGAGGTCCAAAATACGACGACGCGACTGGCCCTTGTTGGGCTGCCGGACTTCGTCTGCATCTAAAGTGATTTGGCTTAATTGCGTAGGAACTTTCGGGGTAAGTTCAGCTGCGATCCTTTGGGCCAGATTGTTCGGATGCATCGGACGCTGGGTCTTGAGAGTGATGGGACGGCTCTGGAATGTGCAGATTGTGTACGTTGATGACCTTCATATCGTGGTGACTGGTCCCGACAAATACGTGGTGCTCTGGATGATCTTGGCTGCTTACGAGGTGCTGGGCACGCCGTTTTCTTACCGGAAGTTTCATGGTGGTGTTGAATGCGAGTTCGTGGGCTACTGGCTTTCTTACCGAGAGAGTGCCGCCGGGATTTCGCTCAAGAGGACGCGCTGGGTTCTTGATTGGATCGACAGTGCCGAGGCGAACAACTGGTTCGTCACGGGTCGGCGCTTTGCCGAATTCCTTGGACGGCTCAACTTTGTTTCCAGGGTGTTGACTTGGATCAAACCTTTTCTTGCACCGCTGTATGCTTTTGATGCCGTCTTGCAGAAGGGGACTGTGGCGAGGATTCCGGAGATGGTCTTCGTGTCGCTTGTTTATATCAGGGAACAGCTTGCGGAGTCCAGGGGACTCCACAGTGTGCTCCAGGATTGGCGGGCGCCGCGCGAGAGTTTCAGGACGGATGCAAAATGCACAAACGGCTTGGTGGTGCTCGGCGGCTACTCGCTTGAGAATGGGACGGACCCGTCAGTTGCACGCTGGTTCTGCCTCGATGTGTCGCAACAGGATCTGCCTTGCCTCTTCAAAGATGACGGCGATAGCCAATGGGCATCGACGAGTGCGGAGTTGCTGGCCTCGCTTGCTGCGTTGAAAGTTTTTGATCACCTGGAAAAGGAGACGTCGGGTGTGCACGACAACATCAGGACTGTGGTTTGCGGCGGAACTGACAATTCTTCGACTGGCAAGCTGCAGAAGAAGGGCTCGAGCACTAAGTGGCCGTTGATGGGCATCCAGATGGCTTGTGCAGCGGCTTTGCATAAAGTGAACAAGCAGCTCACGCTGCAGTGGAGGCCTAGAGATGAGAACACTTTGTCGGATGCCATCACCAACCACGACTTCTCGAGTTTCTGCCCAGAGCTGAGAGTTCCTTTGAAGCTGGACGATCTGCCGCTTGATATTTTTCTTCGCATGGTCCACTCCAGGAGTGCCTTCTTGGATTCGCGTGTCAGCTTGCAGCGATTGGTTTCGAGGGAGTCGGCAATGTCTCGCCGGGAGAAGGAGACGAGCAAAACACCTTGGTGATCCTTCACATGTCGGACTGGCTGCCTTCCTTCGGGGGGGTCTCGAGGCAACTGCGACCGTCATGTGAACATGTGGTCCAGGCTTCAGACGGCAAGATCCAGTTCGACGCACCGATTGAAAACAATGGTCTTCGAGTATGCCTTCGATTGCGCGATGCCTCAAGAGTGATTCTGAGCAACTGCATGTTCGATCGTTACTGCTTGAGCTTTGGTGTGGAACCTTGGTGAATGCATTCGAGCGTCAGCTGCAGTTGATTTTCCAACGACTTTTGATTTCCCTTAAAACCCGACCCTAACCCTCAAGGCTCAAAGGTTCGACTCAAGGCGTGAGAACACGCAGCTTGGGCCCGAGACAGGAACTCCGCGAGTTCCAAGCTGGACAACACCGTAGGTAGGCTCGGTGGCTAAGTCTGTCTCGACTGTGCCATGGCTCCTTCTTCGGGGGGCGCTGTGGGTGCTGAGCGGAAAAGGATGATGGATTTGGCGGCCATGGAGGCCGCGACGTCGAGTACTCAGCTGACCCTACCTGTCAGCTACAGAAAGTTCAGGGGAGTTGCGCTGCGCAACTATGTTCTCAAAGCTATGCTTGAGGGTGAGCATGCTTCCATCGAAGACTTCCTGGAAAGGCTCAATGAGGATGCCAGTGCAGTTGTGGGATCGGCTGTGCTAGTGGATGAGCTCTTTCGTGTACGTGAAGCCCTCGTTCCTCTCTGGACCGAGCAGCTGACAAAGCGGTGTGATGGCGACCCACCTTGGGTGGAGCGCCTCCAGGCGATGGGACATTTCCCAAGCACTACCCTGTGGTTTGCTGACGGGGACTTTGGCCTTGCTCCGGCGGAGGCCTATCGCGATGCAAATGTCCAGCGGCAGCGGGGCAGCCGGGAGCAAGTGGCAGCAGGGCTGCCGCCTTCTGGTTGGCGACCTGGTGCTGGTGCGGACGCTGAAATGGTGACGCAGCCGGCTGCTGGCGAGATTGAGGAGAATGCGGAGCTGGCTGGGCCTTCCGAAGTGGAGGCGACCAACCATGGCGACGCTGCTCTTCCTTTGCAGCCGGCGGCCAGATGTAGTAGCGTAAGGGCCCCGACCCGAGAACCGCGAAAATCAAAGAAGATCCGTGGAAGGACAAAGAGCCACCTAGCCCGGCCTCTCCCTGCCTCCTTGGTAACATGTTTTCTAAGACCGGCCCGTTCGGGGCCCCCTCCGAGAGTAGCTCTCCTTGCCGCCATGGCCTCGGTGCTGCAGCTCTTGGCCTGTGTCAGTGTCAGTCCCCTGCCTCTTGCGAACCGGCAGGTGTGGACTTCCTCGGGGGCCCCCTGGGCGCCACGGCCCAAGGTGGCAGTGCGATCGAGCAGAGCTGTGGCACGGATTTTCTTGGCGGCCCCATCTGGACGGTGCCCCAAGCGCATGCATATCCTAGTGCCAGTGTGGATCATGTGCAGCCTGTGCAGCAATCCCTTCAGTGCCTCCCGGTGTGTGTGCATTTTGGGTTTCCTGCTCTCCAGCGCTGCTTTGCATTCCTGCAAGGTGTCCGTGTGGGTGAGGCAAAGCACCCGGGTCCGCGAGGCCCACCGGCAGTGATTACCTGGAACTGGCATTTGGGGTTTAGGTTCGGCGAAGCTTCGCACCCGGGCCCTGCTGAGCTTACGAACCGAGGTGCTGGATGCCATCCCCCTTTCCCCTCTTGGGTTCTAGGTCCTCCGCGACGCCAGCAGCCGGCCCCGGCGCCGCTAGGCCCCCTAGGGTTTGAGTGTGCACCTAGGTGCTGTGTGACAGGCCGCCGGGCCCCTGCAGGTGAGCCGATGCTTTGTGTGTGCCATGACTGGAAGAGGGGATGTCGCCTGGGCGAGGCCTCTCACCCTGGCCCTGGTTTCAACCTTGACCTTGGCAACCTTGGGGATAGCCTTGGCGATAGCATCATGAAGTCGATCAAGGAGCAGATCCAGAAGGCAGTTGACGAGGCAATAAAGCAGGCCCTGGCGTCGCTTAATCTCGGCCGGGGCTTGGCTGCTGCCCGGCCGTCCGATGATCCAGACGTGCAGCTTGAGCCAAAGGGCAGGCGCAAGAGGAAACGTAAGGCCAAGCAGGCCACGAGCCACCCAGGTGGCAACCCCGACGCCTCGGGCGGCGAGTGTGCAGGTGGCCGCCAGAGCGCAGCCAAAGGCAAGGGCAAGCCTGGAGACAAGTCTGGCCCAGCCAAGGTGGCCCAGCGCGGTGGCCCAGGCGACTCAGGTCAACGCCGGGGCAAGGGCAAGGGCGGCTGCGGTGAGGCAGGCGGGCAGGAAGCCGGTGATGGCTGGCAGATCGTCCGGCGCAAGGCTCCGGAAGGCGCCTTCACGCTTCGAAAATCTGATTGGGACGCTCCGGTCGTCGAGTATGCTGCCCTAGCTGAGTTCATTGACAAGGCTGATGCCAGCAAGGTCCTCGAACTTGTAGTCTTTGTTTCGGCCGACCAGGTCACGCTTGCTACGAACATTCTGCGGGGGAGCGGGCGGAGCTTCAAGGCCCTGCTTGTTTTCCTATCCAAGGATGAGGAGGCCCAGCGCATTCCGGGCACCATTGGGGATCGCCTGGTCTTCAGGACTGCTAAGGTCCAGAAGCTCACGTCTGCAGGTGCCAGTGGCCATGCTCCGCAGCCCACCGGCCTGAGCCAAACGTCCATCAAGATCAAACCCACTGAAAGTGCAGTCGTCTACTTTAAGGTGCCAAAGCAGTTCGCTTCAGCTGACACTTGGAAGGCTTTCGGGGGCAACGCCTCCAAGGCCGCTGTAGACTGGGTCGCGGCCCAAAGGATCAAGGTGCTTGACACTTTTGCCTGGGTCCTGGAAAAGCAGCGCAACGACACTCATGAGCAGTACTTTGGCATTGTTCGCATTCCGAAGGCAGACATTGAGGGCATCCTGGCCCACTCTGGCAAGGACGGTGTCTTCGTTGATGCCGCTCGCACCTCAGGGCCCCGGGCGAAGCTCCAATGGATCGAGAAGCTCCCCGGCGAGAAGGCGGACGCCTACTTTGAACGTGCCCTGCGCCAGGCTTCTAGCCTGGGTTTGGTCGTCAATGGGGGGCGATTGGCGTGGCGAAGTGCCATGGCAGCTGGAGAAGCAACGGTGCGCATCTGGCACATCGATGGTGTGCCCCACGAGTGGGATGTGGATGCCGTCGGCCAGCTCTTGGCCACACGCTTCACTGAGTACACCATCCTGTCGCATCGGCGCACTCGCCTCGGGTCCGTTCGTCGTCGAGCATCAGGAGAAGCCCTTGTCCTTGTGGGCAACGCTGGCACCTTTCCGTGTCGTCTCCAAGAAGCAGAAGCCTCTCGCCTCGAAGGCCGTCCCGGTCGTTGCTCTCGAGCAGCCTGTCGCTGCCACCATCGTCAAACCTCCCACGGGGGAGCTGGCTACGGGCGAGGACGGCAAGGAAGTGCCCCAGCAGAAACGTGTCAAGCAGGAGGTGCGCACCAAGCCAGGTGACCTTCAGCTCAAAGCATGCCCTCGTGACGGAGCCTGCGTGCTGCACGCACTAAGCCTCGGCCTTCAATGGCTTGGTGACTCTCGGCCCAATCACCCGCGCATGCTCCGTGCGCAAATGGTCGAACACATGCGCCGGCACGCCACCCAGTACGAGAAGGAATGGGACGGCAAAGGGCCGGACAGTGAGCCGGTCAAGGACCGGGACTTCCCGGCCTACCTCACTCTTATGGAGAAGGAGGGGGCATACTGCTCGGATGTCGAGCTGAGGGCCCTGGGCCGTGTGCTGGACATCAAAATCGTCGTGCTGCCGGCGGGCCTCAACTTTGCTCCTTACGCCTTCCATAGCAAAGCTGCCAAGATGCTGGTGTTGTGGTACGAGGATAACCACGTTGATCTCATGCTCCCGCCTGAGGGTCACAAGAAGTATCCCAGTGAGTATGCCCAGATCACAGCTGGACCCGTTTTTGGGCTGCGTGCAGGTGGCCGTGGGCCCCCATCGGTCTTCACTGCCTCCTCTGCTGCCTGTGTTCGATCCCAGCCATCCTCTCAGTGGACCTCGGTCATGGAAGGCGAAGGGGCAAAATCCCAGGCTCGCCCGGCATCCGTCTGGACCACCTCGATGCCGGCGAGCGCCTCGGGGAGCGCTGCGGGGCGGCCCTCCATTGGAGCCCAGCCCTCTTTGCAAGGTAGGCGGCCCAGGTCACAGGTGTCACAGGCAAGGTCTTCAGGCAGCCGCAGGCAAAGGTGCAGGCCCTTTCCCGGCCGTGCCCACCCAGTGCCAGGTGCAAGGCAAAGGCATTGCATGGTCCCCAGACCAGGCCCAGGGGCGAGCCACAGGCGAGGTCATCACAGGCCACGGCCCAGGCAAGGCCCTCAGGCACCAAGCGCAAGGCGGTTGAACTGTGCACTTCGTCCGTCTTCACTTGCACCTCTGCTGGCACTATCGAGGCCTTCGATGAATCCGAGTTTGAGCGAGCTCGTGTGCCCCCGAAGCGCTGCCCTTGGCTGGCCCATGCCACGGCACCGGCGGACCTCACTTTTCGGTGCAACTTGTGCCCTTACAAGCGCAAGGCCACGAGCAACCACCAGTACTACCACATCCGCCACAACCACTACCAGCGTGCCCATGAGGGGCAGGGCCTGCAGCCGGACATCGGGCGACCCAAGCTCACGCGGGTCTGCGGCCCAAGGGCTCAGTTCATCTGGTGTTGCCCTTTCTGCAACAAGGGCATCACGCATGAGACTCGGAAGGACCTTTCTCGATTCTCCTACTATGCCCTGCGCAACCAGCATCGTGCACAGGCCCACCCCGAGGTCTCCAAGGCTGAGTGGCAGCGTCTTGCGGCACTCCCGCAAACCGGGCCCAAGGATCGCCAGGTGCATGCCAAAGGGTGCCGCCAGCGCAACCTCACCAAGGCCGTGTTCGCTCAAGTCAGGACCCCTCGCTTTGGGGACCAGATGCAGCTCTTTGTGTGGCCTCGAGCCAGGTGTGAGAAACGCAGCACCCGGGTCAAGCATGTCCTCCTTGAGCATGGTTGGAAGTGCCTCCGGTGCGGTGAGTGCACCAGGGACCTGGCTGCCGCCAAGCAGCATAGCGAGGGCCGGTGCAAGTCGCAGAGCAACACCCAGAAGCGGATCCAAAAACTTGATGCCATCGAGGCGTGGGCCCGGCGTGCCGGAGGTGACCCCGACTTCTGCTCCCAGGTGCTCCGTGCTGCCGCGGCTGCCAAGCTTGCCAATGCGAATCCCCTCCTCGCCGTGTTCGTCAAGCTTTTGAGCATCAATGCGAACCGCACGGCCATCTCCAAAGTGGACCTGTGTGCCGACTTCCTCCAGTCGTGTGGGGCTGAGCTCTTGTCTCTCCAGGAGGCTGACATCAACCCTTTGTCGGCCCAGGGTTTTGGTGAACGCTGGCGTGCCCATGGCTATCGGGCTGTTCTCAGCGACATCGATGCTGCCAAGGGTGTGCATAGGGTAGCCTTAGTCGCCTCCCTCCCCATGCATCGGGTGAACCTTAAGCTCCCTCCTCATGTGGCTGCGCGCTGTGCTGCAGGTGCTTTTGAGATGCAGGCTGCTGGCAGCAAGTGCATCACCCTTGTGGTGGCCTTCTACGGTTTCCCTGGTCAGCCAGCTGCCACAGCCCAGGCCTTAGGTGAGGTTAGGCGTGCAGCTGCGACCTTCGGCGGCCCCTACATCTTGCTCGGCGATTTCAATGTTGACCAGTCTGAGCAAGCTGTGGCGCAGCTGTTGTGCGATGGTGAGCTCCGGTCTCTGGATGAGGCGGACTGGACCCAAGCCGGCCCAACAAATCCCACGCGCACCCGGCGCATTGATTTTGGCCTGGCCCATTGGTCAATCATTGCGACGGCTGTCAAGCAGTTCGAACGCCCGCACCTTTCGGACCACGGGTGTGTCTTCTACGAGACGCGGTGCCTGAGCCGTGCCGACAGCTTCTCCATGCCTAAGTTTCGTGAGCTCCCTGCCACGGCCACTGAAGACATCCTGTCTAACTTTGGTAGGGTCTGGGATGCTGCACACTTTGAGAGTTCTATTGCAGGCGGGGCTCTTGATGAAGCCTGGGCCTTCTTGTCAGACGTGGCCGAGCGCACGCTGGGTGCCACTTCGCTCTTCGATGCCTCCGGTGCCCGCAGGAGCGACCACTGGCTCCCTTGTGCCCGCCACGAGTCCCACCATCGTGTCGGCCCCCAGGGTCATGAGTCCCAGTCCCTCCGTTCATCTCGCAAGTTGCTTGGGCAATTGCACCAACTGCGGCAACAGCCCCACTGTCAGAAGCTGTGGCGTGCGGTGGGCCGCCGGGCTGGGCTCCTTCGTGCCACTTTCCCCGACCTCCCTGTGATACATGCTGCCAACCTTGCAGGTGCCACCCAGGTGATCTCTCATTTGCATGCTGAGCTTCAGCAGCAGGAGACGGAGGCCAGAGTGCACAGGTGGCGCTGCCGTGTTGAGGAGGACCCTTCTCGTGCCCTCGCCTGGGTCAAGCGCAAAGCTGACCATCAGTTGGCCATGGAGCAATCTCCTCAGGCCCATGCTGGTGTCCCTTCCTCTGTTCACCCTGCCTCTATTGTCGAGGAACATGGTAAAGTGTGGCTGCAGCACTGGAAGCCGGAGTCCCCTGTCAACTTCGATGCCGTGCAACGCATCCTTGACCGTGTCCCGGGCGGGCCGCAATCGGACATTGTGCTCCAGGTCGAAGCTGAGGCTCTGATGCGGGCCACCAAGGCAATGCGGGGGAAAGCGATGGGCCCTGACCGATGGTCAGCGGAGCTTCTGCTCCGCCTCCCAGTGCCGTGGTGGGAAGCGGCGGCCACTCTGTGGAATGCGGTGCTCTCCACGAAGTACGTTCCTCGACTCTGGCGCCGGGCACTGATTGCCCTGGTGCCGAAGCGCCTGGATGAATACCGACCGATCGCCTTGTGCCCTGTCATCTGGCGAGCGGGTGCCCACTGCATCTCTCGCAATGTGCTGCCGTGGATGGACACATGGCTGGGCCACCACACCTTGGGCGGTGCACCATGTAGAGGCCCGGGCGACGCTCATGCCCGGCTTTTTCATGCGTGGCAGAGCGGCGGCAAAGTCTTTTGCCAGCAGGACCTCACGCGGTTCTTCGACTCTCTTGATGTCCAGGCGGTGGGTATGGTGCTCCGGCACCTTGGTGCTCCTGCTGGCCTCGCTGAGCTCTTAGCCTCCTTCTACCAGGATGCCTCGAGGCTCTTTCTGCACGAGGGCCGGTCCAGCAGTGCATGGGGCAGCCCGGCGCGGGGCCTGGCGCAGGGATGCCCACTCTCCCCAATGGCCGCGGTTGCGGTCGGCCATATCTGCAGTCCTTTGCCAAGGGACGCACCGACTGCCTCATCTTCATTGACGACCGGGTGCTGTGGCCTTCCTGCACGTGTGCGGACCCTCTTGGGGCCATGGATGTGGCATTGAGGGCTTCTGACTCCTTTGACCAAGCCTTCGGCTTCCAGTGCCGTGCCAGCAAGTGTGCTGTGGTGTGTCCACCCGATGTCGGGACTTTCGATCAGTGGGCCAAGGAGCTACCCACGCGTGACTACTTTGAAGGTGCTGGGCATCACCCTCGACATGCAGGAGGGTGCCCTGGGGCTCCTTAAGTTTAGCCCACGCTTGCTCCTGCATCGCCTTCGCTTCCTCAAGCTCCTGGGAGGGGAGGTGCCCCAGCTCCGTCGCATTGTGCTGCAACTGGTCCACTCGGCCATGTTTTGGGCTGGTGGTGTCGCCTGCCCGGACCGCGACTGCTTGCGCGACGTCTGGCACTCCACTTGTGCGGTCCTGCAAAAGCACGCCACCTTCGAGTCTCCTAAAGTCTTGCTGTGTGCCTCCTTTGGCTGGAGTTTGGACCCTGAATGGGCGGCGGACTGGGCATCCCTGCGGGCTGCCTGGCGTTTCAAGGCTCGGCCCCCGGCCTGGCTCGACACGGCTGGGCTTGATGTTGCTTGTGGTGACTGGCGTCGCTTCCTTCCTGGTGCGGCGGCGGTTGTGCAAAGGTTAGGCTGGCAGGTCCAAGGCAATGGCGCCATCCTGGCGCGGCTCGACGATTCGGGCACCCTCCGTCAGTGCCACCTTGGCTGGGAATCCTTTGATGTGGTCAAGCGCTGGCTTGTGGACCACTACAAGTGGCAGGGCGTGCATTCGTGTGGGCGGATCCGCAATCGTGGCCACCGCGATGATGCAACGTTGGCCCGTGGTCTCAGCCTGGGGGCCCCGCTTCGCAGTGCTCGGTTTGCGCTTGAAGGTCACCGCCTTGCAGTCGCGGCTGAGCCTACACGTGAAGTTCGCCTTGCAGCACTGGGCTCGGGCGGCTCCATCTGGTACCACTGCAAACGGCTGGAGATGAGCTCACCCGACACCACGGCGTGTGTTTGTGGCCTCTTGCAGCCCAGCCGGGCGCATCTCACCTGGTGTTGCGCCTCAACGACGGGATTGCGGCAAGGTCTCGCACCTCCTTCCACCCGTGCTGGTGAACGGCTCTTTGCGGCCGAAATCACTGAGTACCCTGCAGCTCCTGCAGCTTCGGACGTTGAAAACATCCTTCAGAGCATTGTGGCGCATCTTCGCAACTTCGCTACTGTGGGCGAGCGTCTGCTCATCGCGACCGATGGCAGTGCTAAGTTTGATGTCGGCGGCTGTGCCGTGATCTTCGGAAGCGGCGACGGCACCTTCGTCTTCGGTGATGCTTGTGAGGACCAGTCGGCCTTCCGATGTGAGCTCCTCACCTTGACGACCCTCTTCGAAGCGATCTCTCGTGCACAGTTGGCCCCAGGCTGTCAGGTCGGCATCCTGGTGGATTGCAGCTCTGGTCTTCAGGCTGTGGCCCAACCTGAGGCGTGCTCTATGCCTCTCCTGGCTCACAAGGCTGCGAGGCTACTGCGTGATGTGCGTGCCGGTGGCTTGGACCTGAAGCTTTCGTGGACTCCTGCACATGGTCGGCGGCCCAACTGGACTGCTCCCTGGGGCCTAACGGCCGCCTGCTGCAGGGACCTTAACGAACGGGCCGATGCGGCTGCCAACAGCATTCGCGAGCACAGGGCTCGTGGATCGGGCAGGGTGAGCTGGCATGCAGAGCTTCATCGTGCAGCACTTTGGGCGCGGGGGGCCATCTTGGCTTCTGCTGGTGCCTCCAATGTCCTGGCGCAGCACCTTCGTGTGAGGCGGCCGGCCCGTATCATTCATGATGATCCGTGAAACTCGCTACGACACTGAACATTTGCATCGTTGACGGCTTCTACGGTGGCTCCCCTGGGAACTTCGTGCTGCACCACTTCTTCTGGCTGCTGCCGCTGGCTGCTGGCTGCGGTGGCGTGCTGCGGGGCGTGGGCGGCTGGCTGAGGCGCGCTGCTGTGTCCCTCTGAGTTCCCACGTCGAGCCCATCTGAAGCCGTAGAGGTGTACAGCTGCTCCGCACGTCACTTCGATGCTGCTTAGGCTCTCGCTAGGCAGTTTGTGCTTGCTGTGTAGCCCTGCACCTCTCCTTCTAGAAAACCTGAGCCAAAGGCTCACTTTTCTTCTCGGCTCTCCTGAGCCTTAGTTTCCCATGTTTCGGCTAATCTGGCCAATGACTCTAGTTTGTTTGGTCTCTCATGCCTCAGCTTCAAGCACCTTGGATTGTACAGTTGTCACACGTCCTCTGCTTGTAAGCTTCATGATTGACCTTTTAGGTTCGGTCTCACAACCGACAACCAAAGACGTTACTGGACGCAGATCGGGACTTCGTTGCGATGCCCGAGTCTTGCCTGAACCGCAGTTAGGCGTGAGAACACGCTGCTTGGGTCCTACCAAAAGTGTGTTCGAGAGCCTTGAGGGGGGGTGGGGGGGAAAAACAGTACGACTCTGAACGCTTGAATCCTTGCGGACATGTGATTGACGATTTCACTTGAGCTTGATTTTACCTCGGCTTGATTTTAGATTGAGTGCTTGATCACTGTACAGTGTGAATGAGATCCTTGCACGGCAAAGTTACGACTCAAGTTCTTTTGTGACCCGCCCTCCCACACCGGGGGTCTCGAGGCAACTGCTACCGTCATGTGAACATGTGGTCCAGGCTTCAGACGGCAAGATCCAGTTCGACGCACCGATTGAAAACAATGGTCTTCGAGTATGCCTTCGATTGCGCGATGCCTCAAGAGTGATTCTGAGCAACTGCATGTTCGATCGTTTACTGCTTGAGCTTTGGTGTGGAACCTTGGTGAATGCATTCGAGCGTCAGATGCAGTTGATTTTCCAACGACTTTTGATTTCCCTTAAAACCCGACCCTAACCCTCAAGGCTCAAAGGTTCGACTCAAGGCGTGAGAACACTATGGTGTCGACTGCCGCCGCCATTGCGAAGAAGCGCAAAGGCCAGTGAAGATTAGCGATTGATCCACGCATGCCTGTGGATTGAGGAAGTGGATTGATGATCCACCAGTGCATTGCGGACCCACAGCGCAAGTGGATTGTGCCTACGGCATTGAGGAGCGTGTATTGCTGCCTCTCAACAGCATTGATTTTGATTCTTTTCTGCTCAGATTGTTCTGGATTTGGCAACAAGTTGCTCGGATTGAGCACTGGACAAACTGGACATTCGCATTGGATACTGACGATTGAGTGCCGATTCCATTTGCTTCTATGATTGCAATGTACCGACGGAGACATTGTTTCCTGGATGATGATTGCACATAGTTGGAGAGTGGGCGACTGCATGACATTGCTCAGTTCTGATTGCAAAAGGAGTGAGATTGCAAGTGAGATTGCCAGCTTAGTGTCGTGATTGCTTTTCCACCGGTAGATTGACTGCTTGATTGTTTCGATTCATGTGATATTGGTTCCAATTCTTGTTTCATTGCTATTCCAGTATAATTGCAGAACCAATAAATGAGCGGAGATTGTACAGGTGTGATTGCCGACGTGTCCCGTCGCAATCAAGGGACCGTGTTAGATTGCATGGTCATTCTCCAGCTCATATTGGCTACGGACATTACGATGCCTACCAATTGGCATTGGCTCAAGACTGGCTCATTGAATCCAGATAAAAGCCTGAGACCGAGTGATTGCATTCTGGAGCCGACTGAGATTTCTGCTTGATTGATGTTGCCTTGATTATTGCACACTCCTGGTGATTCTAGAAACGCTATTGAAATTTTTCATTAAGCCCCCCCTTCGTCGAAGGTCTGGGGCCAGCCCCCTCCGGACGCAGGATCAAAACTCCCGTTGGATTTTCGCAACCTAAACGGCGCGCGAAAATTGGGTTGACAATTCGAGGTTGGTGCATCACAGGTGCATCACCCCCAATTCCGGTGCATCACCTCCCCCAAGCCACAGCGATTACCCGCACAGCCCTGAAACCGCAACATGGCTGCGGTCTCTCTCTTGTGTAGCAGGGTTGTTCGCTCCACAATCGATCGTCTGCAAGGGAGCTGATTCAAAATCGAAAGGGTGTTGAGCCTACAGGGGCCTACAGCCTCGGACCACGTCATCTTCGGCCTTTAGGCTCAATTTTGGACCGAGCGAATCGGAGCTCGACGATTGTGGACCCGAGCAGAGCGAACGAGCTCGCGAACGGAGCGAACGAGGGAGTGGAGCGAGCGAGTGAACGGAGAGAGCGGAGTGAGTGAGGGGAGCGAGAAAGTCCACAATCGTCGAGCTCCGATTGCGAAGAAAATTTTGGGCCTAAAGGGCCGAAAATCGTTGCGTCCTGCGGCCCTGAGCCCCATCGATCTCTCGTTTTTGGTCCGAGGCTGTAGGCTGAACACCCTTTTCGATTTTGAATTCAGCTCCCTTGTAGACGATGGATTGTGGAGCGAACACCCTGCTGACAAGAGAGAGATTCCTTTTTCTCTGAAACCTTTTGTTTCTTCTTGGAACCGAGCATTGCAGAGATCGGCGCCATGAAATTGGCGAGTGGACCTTTTTATACACTCTCAACGATGAGCACATGGAGGACCCTGCCCACCCGTCGGATTCTGTGGGACGTGGCGGTCACCATTGGGATGGCATGCACCGCAGGTTCGCCTGACATGACCTTCAGCACGGCGGCGCGCTCTTTGCCCTTATGCGGAGTGTGAGCCGCTGTGTACGACCAGTTTGATCGGTGTGCTGCCCATTCACATCCTCGCAGCCGCGCGCATCGGTCCTCAAAGAACAGGTTAGGTCCGCTCAAACCAAAAAAATCTTGGATTTGTTGCACACTTGAACCTGTAAATGCTTGTGTCTTGGACGACAGGTGTCGTTTGTTTGAAGCACCTTTGAATCTAACCAAAAAGTTCACGCCAGGAGGACCAAAATGCTGCGGTGCGCAAGTTTCGTTTCGACCTGACCACGCTTCTGGAGGCCGCCTTTTCAAGCCCTCTTCAAGCCTCCAACCCTTCAGCTTCTGGGCAGAGGGACTTGAAACCCCTTTGAGAAGCCAGCCTTTCCTTCTTGACTTCCGGTCTGAAAGGTGTTCCCTCTTGAATAATTGGTCGGGATTTCGTGCCAGAGCGCATTGTTGGTCCAGGTTTTTTGCGCGCGCAAACGCCGCAACTTGATTTGGACGAAAGAGCTCTGTAGTGCCAAGACATGGCATGCTAGGATTGGGTGAAGGCCGAAAGCTCGAGTTTCGAAGATTGTTATTGGTTCATTTGTTGGATGAAGGCTACTGCCAGTCACAACAAGGTTTGCATGCGGCAAATCGAGAATCAAGGGCAGGGAAACAAGCAGAATCGGCTTGAATTTTTCTACGTTTGGAGCTTGAGCAACAACATATAGTAGGTTTCACCCTCCGTTTGGAGTTGTGTTGAGCCCGGACCTTCGGAGCAAGATATGGGGGTTGTCTACCTGGCGGAGTCTTTTGCATGCCGGGTTTTCCTGCCGCCGTCTCATGACAAGAGCTGACAACTTGTTCTTGCACGTGTCATATGCTGATTGGAAATCACAACTGGTGTCATGATAAGATCGGCTTCCAACTCGGTGTGCGAAGCAGCAAGCATCACGGCAGAACAGGTGCCTGTGCTTGTTCTTTGGACAGATGTGAGTTGGCTAACGTATCAATGCTGAAAAGGCACCAGCTTGCAGCTTGCAGACATGCTCCATTGCAGATCGAAAGCTTTTTGGCAAGTGTGGTTTATTCTCACATATTCTGGCATTCCTTTCGTCTTAGCCATTTTGCAGTTGCCATGACCGAGCAATCGCTGCAATTTTTCATCTTCGGCGAGATCTGCCATGCTTGTGACGTGATGTGTGGATAGACCGGCGGGACACTTTTATTTTGAGTCATTGCCAGGCAACCCAGTGGCGATGTCGCCGTCGCCTACGATCCACAGCACTGGCTTCACGGTGAATGGAAGCCAGATGCTAGTTCGGTTTGAGGTTCTTGTCGGAAAGTTGTTGTCAGCTGGCAGACGGGAGGTCCCAACGTATACGACAGGTTTGACAACAAGGACATCGAAGAGGCCGATGTGAAAGTTGAAGTCGTCAAAAGCCACCACTTCCGAGAATGCCAGGTTGTATCCGAATTGCGCAAGCCTTCTTGTGGTGGCGGCTCAGCATTTCTGCAGCAAGGAGCGAAATTACATCAATCTTGATGGCGGTCGGTTGCTGTGCTGAAACGAGGTAACTATACCGCACAAGGCCCTGGCTAGCTGGTTCAACCTTGATGTTTTTATGGATGGGTGTCTTGTTTCTAGTTCGCCAGCTGTCGAAGGAATCCATCAAGGCTTACATGGACGAGTTGACAGATGCCGCCCGCACAATCGGCGCTGTCAACACAGCCGGCCACATCAGAGATGAAAAGATCACTTTCTCCTTGAGGCCTTGTTTAGCTGATGTCTCTGCAGCATGTTTCGAAGGTGACGAAATGTGGTGACCGGCTCAAAGGCGACAACACAGCATGCATCCTCAGATGTTGCCAATGTTGTCGTTGTCTGTGCATGCTACACTCACTGACAACGTCAGGATTGGTTGGGCATCAAGAACCAATTGGAAACTCGCCTTCGAGGCCAGTCGTGCGGCCTTTCGGCAGTGTGTTCCAGAGCTTCATGTTGAGGCCGGACAAAGACCAATTTGACATGCAAACACCTCGGACCAGTTTCGCACCCCGTGAGAGTCTGCCATGGTCTCTTACTCGTTCTTGGGTCTTAATTCTTGTTTGCTAGGCCTGCTCTGTGGAGCTGGCGGGACTGCAAGGGCAGCCGCCTATGCGATGAAGACGATGTCTCGGGTGTTTGATGTACCGATAGGATATTCAGTTGCATGTGCCATGTTAGCACTTGAGGCAAATGGGGGCATCCAGAGTGCTGATCTACAACAGGACAGCACGGCCCTCGATGGTGTCGGCCATGTGGAATGATTCAAATGAGCTCGTGAAGCCCTTGCTTTCAAGGCCCTCAGGGCGCAAGAGCTGGCGTCAGAGTTCGGGTTTGAGGTCCCATGTTTGATCACGTTTTTTTGTTGATTGTCGGATGTAGCAAGTGAGTTGATGAATTGGAGCACAGGCTTGTGCAGATCTAGCTGCTCTGCAGCACCTAGCAGAGTTGCACGTGGTGGTCAATACCTTGTCAGAGCCTTTTGATGTAGCAGTTAACGGTCCCGCATTTTTTCAGAAGCAGTATTTGCCTCAACCTGTTTTGAGGCCAGGGAGCACCGAGTTCACTCTTCCAGATTCAGCCGTCTTGCGGAGGAGGGCCTGCTGTTGTGCTCCCATAGCGAATGATGCAAATGCAAGCCTCTGACGTTCAGGAGCAGACCTGTTGTGTTGGAAGCCGCGAGTCCCTCACGTGGCTTTTGAAACCGCTCAATTGGTGAGACAGATCACGCATCAGTTGTTCGTGAAGTGTCGCTTGTTGATAATTCAAGAAAGAATGTTGTTGTGTTCCCAGGCATATATCCCACGACGGACAGCCTTCCTCCGCCAAGCTATCGGTGCAGGCTGTGAGGTGGTCACCAGCCTCTGCATGTTGGTGGGCTTTGACTGTGGTCTTGGGTCAGGTTGTCGAGGGCGTCGAAATGCTTTTCGAGCAAGGCTGTGCGCAATGTGAGCCTCTTCCCCACGGAGCGAAACTGAAGCAGATGCTGGCACGTTCCGTGGTAATGATCTGAGGATTTGGACTCAAAAGCCAGCTCCACGATCACAAATTGCCAGGGCTCTAGTCGAGGCCGGGCAGCTCATGCGTCTGACCGTATGCATGGGCAAATCTGTGCAATCCTGAGAGGCCCTTTTCAAAGCGGGTCGCCGCCTCGGTCTCGTCGGGGTGGCGGGATGGGGAAGTGGCTCGAGCCAGGCTCCGTGCATCCCGCTTTCGCAAAGATGGAACCCCATGGCGAACTGCCGACATCGCTGGTAGAGGAGGACACGTGACAAGCTGCTAAGTCTCTGCGTCTCTGCCTTCGCAAAGATCCTTTGCAGGCCAAGCAGCGAAGACCTGTCGCGGCCTGCTCAATCTGACCCGTCTTCGTGCCAGTTGTCTTACTTCTGTCAACAGAGTGCAGTGGAACGTCGGCTGCAAGGCGCTACTTTGTCTTGGCGTCTCTGCATTCGTTTTGCTGACCACGGTTGTCGTTTATGCACGCAGGAAGCAGGCCCGGGTTCTCCTGATGCAAAAACTGTGGCCTGGGCATATTCCTAAACTCTCCACAGGCCGCGAAAAGCAGCTGACGGCTTTGCTTGGAAGGATGGAAAAGGTGGCGTTGGAGTTTGAAGCGTTTTTCATTTCGAGTTGCTTTTGCGTTGTTCTTTGTTTTAAGACTCCTTCGTTCTGCCTCATTATACGTAGCAGTTTTGGTCTTTTCCCACCTGTCTGCTGGGCAGGATGAGGGCTTATCCCACGAGCCCTCAGCTCCTTCCAATTTGGTCGTTCACAATCGTTCACCAAGACGCCACAACAGTTTTATATGTGAGTTGTGCCGGCAGTCCAGCATCATGAGCAGTGGTAGACAGAGCAGCTTGATCCAACGAAAGGTAAATCAGAAAAACACCGGACTGTGCCGCAATCAGGTGCAGTTAAGTATGCCTCCACTTGTCCTTCCTTGTGGTGCCACGTTATGTTCGGGGGTGGCGTATCGGTTCGAGAGGAGGAACGGCCCAAGGCCTGCCCTCTTCGTTCCTCACTTCACTCACCAACAAAAGCACTCCACGGAAACATTGAGAACTCGAGTCGATAATCAAAAGTCTTCGCCGACGACCCTGGTTGTTTCCGCCTTTCGTTCGGAGATTGTCCGTTTCTCTGTTCTTGGCGGCCAATTTCGCGGGGGGCTTAGTCGGCAAGAGTGTCGTGGATGCTGCAGTGGCAGACGCGTGTTCTCTTGTTACAGGTTACGATGGAGGCCATTTTACTGTTTCTCTTGATGCATTTGCTGTGTGGCATGTGTTTCATAGCAGTACCCTGAAGGAGGGTGAGACAACAGTTTCTATCCGAGTGGTCGGAGCTACAAACACAGAGGCGGCAAAGTCCATGAAATTGTCTGGCATCTGCATGGCAAGCGTCTGACCAGGCCGTTCAGGTTACCGTTGATCGCTCTTCACCGCTGTCTGACATCAAGAAGGCCCTCTCGGCCAAATCTGGCTTTGTTGCATTCCTTTTTGATGGCCTGGCTCAGGTCCTGGCCGACTTGTTCGACAGGCCCGAGGTTGGCGACCTGATGGGATGTTCAGATGGGGTTCCAGTCTGACAGTGACTGAGATCGCCGCGGATGGCCAATTTCTGAAGCAGATGCCGAATGGTGTCCAGCTGGCAAACTTTCAGCAACCCATGACAGCTGTTGCAGACGCCTGTGACATGCCTTTGGTCGATCTTGTTTGGGAGACAAGGAGAGCTGAATCGCATCATGTAAGACCAACGAAAGGGTTCAGTGCTGCGAGGTGTTTTCGCATTTGGATTCTTGTATCATGTCATTACTTCGGACCCGCTCCTTCTTTCTGAAAAGCACGTCTGGTAAGGCCTCCTCCAATGCCAGCGCTTCATGGTCTCGTTCTTTGTTTGATGGATCTGGATAGTATTTCGGCTTTGGATGATGTTTTTGCCATTCTCCTGAGCTGCTGCCCCGACCCGTTTTTGGTGCGTTTTCGCTTTGCATGCTGCTCTGTTTTGCTCCGCCATGCGCCTTTTGATTGAGGTTTCGGATGCCTTATCTTTTACTGCGGATGTTGTCAAGTCTTTTTGTAGTTGATTTAGCTTGTTTCTGTTTTTGCGCTTCGTGTCCACAACTCTAGTTTCGGTTGTTTTTGTCCGCCTTTTATGCTGGAACTTTCCGTTTTTGCTCGGTTTTGCCGATGTCTTTAGGGTTTCTGAGGCCTTGATTTTTGACTTTTCAGGCTTGCCAAGCTTGCTCTGGATTTTGCCAAAAAAACAGAGCATCCATGGCCCGACCATGATGACGTTGTCTCATCCGTCCTGGGAAGAGTGCGTGCATCCATGGCCCAACATAGTGAAGGCCGTCTTTGGGCCTGCGCAAGTTTTTGCTGTAATTTCGGGCCTCTCCAGAACAAGTCTATGAACACGAAAGTCCTGCAAATTGCAGCACTTCTTGCGATTCCAAAACACGAGGGTGGCAAGTCAGCCGTCTGCCTCGTTAGCCAAATTGCGAGGGGCACAGGCAGGGAGAGACGTTTGCAATTACCATTCGGACATCAGCAATCGGCCGAACGACACTGGGAGACCTCCCCGTGGATGTTAGGTTCCCGATGGCTCCCGTGAGCCGGAAGATCCAGGAAACTCCAGAAGAGCTTCAGAGCTCTTGGTCCCCGATTGGCCAGATTGGGCCGCTGGTGGGCTGCTGCTTGTCTGATGATGTCTGCTACAGTGTAGACGTATCGGTACAAGCTCAAAGAAGGTCCAAGCTTGTAGTCATGGGCTGCTTCTTGTCTGATGATGTCTGCTACAGTGTAGACGTATCGGTACAAGCCCAAGGAAGGTCCAAGCTTGTAGTCACAGGCTGCTTCTTTTCTGTTGATGTCTGCTACAGTGTAGAGGTATCGGTACAAGCCCAAAGAAGGTCCAAGCTTGTAGTCATGGGCTGCTTCTTGTCTGATGATTGCTGCTACAGTGTAGACGTATCGGTACAAGCCCGAAGAAGGTCCAAGCTTGTAGTCATGGGCTGCTTCTTGTCTGATGATGTCTGCTACAGTGTAGACGTATCGGTACAAGCCCAAAGAAGGTCCAAGCTTGTAGTCATGTGCTGCTCCTTGTCTGATGATGTCTGCTACAGTGTAGACGTATCGGTACAAGCCCAAAGAAGGTCCAAGCTTGTAGTCATGGGCTGCTTCTTGTCTGATGATGTCTGCTACAGTGTAGAGGTATCGGTACAAGCCCAAAGAAGGTCCAAGCTTGTAGTCATGGGCTGCTTCTTGTCTGATGATGTCTGCTACAGTGTAGACGTATCGGTACAAGCCCGAAGAAGGTCCAAGCTTGTAGTCATGGGCTGCTTCTTGTCTGATGATGTCTGCTACAGTGTAGACGTATCGGTACAAGCCCAAAGAAGGACCAAGCTTGTAGTCATGGGCTGCTCCTTGTCTGATGATGTCTGCTACAGTGTAGACGTATCGCTACAAGCCCAAAGAAGGTCCAAGCTTGTAGTCATGGGCTGCTCCTTGTCTGATGATGTCTGCTACAGTGTAGACGTATTGGTACAAGCCCAAAGAAGGTCCAAGCTTGTAGTCATGGGCTGCTTCTTGTCTGATGATGTCTGCTACAGTGTAGACGTATCGGTACAAGCCCAAAGAAGGTCCAAGCTTGTAGTCACGGGCTGCTTCTTGTCTGATGATGTCTGCTACAGTGTAGACGTATTGGTACAAGCCCAAAGAAGGTCCAAGCTTGTAGTCATGGGCTGCTTCTTGTCTGATGATGTCTGCTACAGTGTAGACGTATCGGTACAAGCCCAAGGAAGGTCCAAGCTTGTCGTCACAGGCTGCTTCTTGTCTGATGATGTCTGCTACAGCGTAGACGTATCGGTGCAAGCCCAAAGAAGGTCCAAGCTTGTAGTCATGTGCTGCTTCTTGTCTGATGATGTCTGCTACAGTGTAGACGTATCGGTACAAGCCCGAAGAAGGTCCAAGCTTGTAGTCATGGGCTGCTTCTTGGCTGATGATGTCTGCTACAGTGTAGACGTATCGGTACAAGCCCAAAGAAGGTCCAAGCTTGTCGTCATGGTCTGCTCCTTGTCTGATGATGTCTGCTACAGTGTAGACGTATCGGTACAAGCCCAAGGAAGGTCCAAGCTTGTAGTCATGGGCTGCTTCTTGTCTCAGTGTAGACGTATCGGTACAAACCCAAAGAAGGTCCAAGCTTGTAGTCATGGGCTGCTTCTTGGCTGATGATGTCTGTTACAGCGTAGACGTATCGGTACAAGCCCAAAGAAGGTCCAAGCTTGTAGTCATGGGCTGCTTCTTGTCTGATGATGTCTGCTACAGTGTAGACGTAACGGTACAAGCCCAACAAAGGTCCAAGCTTGTCGTCACAGGCTGCTTCTTGTCTGATGATGCCTTCTACAGTGTAGACGTATCGGTACAAGCCCAAGGAAGGTCCAAGCTTGTAGTCATGGGCTGCCCAAAGAAGGTCCAAGCTGGTGGTCATGGGCTGCTTCTTGTCTGATGATGTCTGCTACAGTGCAGACGTATCGGTACAAGCCTGCTTCAGTGTAGACGTATCGGTACAAGCCCAAAGAAGGTCCAAGCTTGTAGTCATGGGCTGCTTCTTGTCTGATGATGTCTGCTACAGTGTAGACGTATCGGTACAAGCCCAAAGAAGGTCCAAGCTTGTAGTCATGGGCTGCTTCTTGTCTGATGATGTCTGCTACAGTGTAGACGTATCGGTACAAGCCCAAAGAAGGTCCAAGCTTGTAGTCATGGGCTGCTTCTTGTCTGATGATGTCTGCTACAGTGTAGACGTAACGGTACAAGCCCGAAGAAGGTCCAAGCTTGTCGTCATGGGCTGCTCCTTGTCTGATGATGTCTTCTACAGTGTAGACGTATCGGTACAAGCCCAAGGAAGGTCCAAGCTTGTAGTCATGGGCTGCCCAAAGAAGGTCCAAGCTGGTGGTCATGGGCTGCTTCTTGTCTGATGATGTCTGCTACAGTGCAGACGTATCGGTACAAGCCTGCTTCAGTGTAGACGTATCGGTACAAGCCCAAAGAAGGTCCAAGCTTGTAGTCATGGGCTGCTCCTTGTCTGATGATGTCTGCTACACTGTAGACGTATCGGCACAAGCCCAAAGAAGGTCCAAGCGTGTAGTCATGGGCTGCTCCTTGTCTGATGATGTCTGCTACAGCGTAGACGTATCGCTACAAGCCCGAAGAAGGTCCAAGCTTGTAGTCATGGGCTGCTCCTTGTCTGATGATGTCTGCTACAGTGTAGACGTATCGGTACAAGCCCAAAGAAGGACCAAGCGTGTAGTCATGGGCTGCTCCTTGTCTGATGATGTCTGCTACAGTGTAGACGTATCGCTACAAGCCCAAAGAAGGTCCAAGCTTGTAGTCATGGGCTGCTCCTTGTCTGATGATGTCTGCTACAGTGTAGACGTATCGCTACAAGCCCAAAGAAGGTCCAAGCTTGTAGTCATGGGCTGCTCCTTGTCTGATGATGTCTGCTACAGTGTAGACGTATCGCTACAAGCCCAAAGAAGGTCCAAGCTTGTAGTCATGGGCTGCTCCTTGTCTGATGATGTCTGCTACAGTGTAGACGTATCGCTACAAGCCCAAAGAAGGTCCAAGCTTGTAGTCAGCGGCTGCTCCTTGTCTGATGATGTCTGCTACAGTGTAGACGTATCGCTACAAGCCCAAAGAAGGTCCAAGCTTGTAGTCATGGGCTGCTCCTTGTCTGATGATGTCTGCTACAGTGTAGACGTATCGCTACAAGCCCAAAGAAGGTCCAAGCTTGTTGTCACGGGCTGCTCCTTGTCTGACGATGTCTGCTACAGTGTAGACGTATCGCTACAAGTCCAAAGAAGGTCCAAGCTTGTAGTCATGGGCTGCTCCTTGCCTGATCATGTCTGCTACAGTGTAGACGTATCGCTACAAGCCCAAAGAAGGTCCAAGCTTGTAGTCATGGGCTGCTCCTTGTCTGATGATGTCTGCTACAGTGTAGACGTATCGCTACAAGCCCAAAGAAGGTCCAAGCTTGTAGTCATGGGCTGCTCCTTGTCTGATGATGTCTGCTACAGTGTAGATGTATCGGTACAAGCCCAAAGCAGGTCCAAGCTTGTAGTCATGGGCTGCTCCTTGTCTGATGATGTCTGCTACAGTGTAGACGTATCGCTACAAGCCCAAAGAAGGTCCAAGCTTGTAGTCATGGGCTGCTCCTTGTATGATGACGTCTGCTACAGTGTAGACGTATCGCTACAAGCCCAAAGAAGGTCCAAGCTTGTAGTCATGGGCTGTAAGGATGGCTTTCCGTTTCCGGTCAATGGCAGGCCACTGTCAAGATGCACGATGCACAGAAGATCGGCACCAGGTGAGCCATGGCAAGCCACATCTCTGCCGATGCTGTTCGTTTCCAACGCTTGTTTGGATTCCGGCAGGAAGGAGCTGCTTTACGAGGGCCCACCGTTGGCCGTCGTTTCCGAGGTGCAGCCAGCCAGCGCACTCTGTGGGCACGCCACATCGCACCACTCAAAACGCTCGAGTAGATTGAGCAGATGTCATGGAGGCAGTTCCACTGACGAATCTCGACGAGTTCGATGGTGAGCTCCTCGCAGTGCCATCTCGTTGCGGCTGAAGTTGAGCATTGTTTGCTAGCTGACCTTTGTCACAGGTTTCGACGAGAAGGTTGACGTGCTGTCGCCACGCTCGCGCGCCATCAGTCTGCCGATTGCTGCTCATGCCCTGGTTCTACATCCTAAAGTCCAAGGCTTCGAGCACTAGAGCTTCAGGGGGTTTCTCCAGATGTCGTGGCCTTGACCGAAGGTGTTTGTGGCTTTAGAGGGAGTTTGCTGCAGATATGGTGCTCAGGAGTTGTACTATGCCCCTGCTGAATGCTTTTGGGAGTTCCTCGCCCAGTTTGGACAGTTGACAGTTGATTGCACGTAATTCGATGCAAGCAGCAATGCCAGAGCTTCCTTTTGCCAAGGCCAGACCTGGACAGAAGGATCATGCAGCTGCATCATGACTTCGTTGAGGTGAGACGCACTCTTTCCCAGGTGATACGTGTAGAGCGTATGCAGCAGGCGCATGTCATGTCATGCTTCTCTGGCTTCTCCTGGTCCTCTTGGCGGAAGGCCTGGCGCCAGGACACTCTCTCCATGTGCCGAGCGCAGAGGCGCCGGATCCTTGAGCAGGCCGAACCGCGTCAGGGACCCCGCGAAGCCTCGTAGACTAAGCCTTGTCCTTGAAGGACGTTGCTGCTGACTCTGAGTCGCCTGGCTTTGAGACGAGCACGTTGCTCTTACTTGTGTGAGTCACTCTTAGGATTGTTCGCGGGTGATCAATGCCATCTGAGGCTGGACAGAAGGCGCACCCGGCTCGGCTCACGTGGACCAGTGTAGCCCCAAGCCTCAGAAACCTTCTCCAAGACTTCAATCCGCAAGGCGCATTCTTAGCGGAACATCGTTCCAGCTGAACAGGGAAGACAGGGCCGCGAAAACACGGGCACTGTCGGAAAGACACCCGAATCCCATGAACAGTGCATAGTCGGTAGACATGGTTATCTTGAAGTTTTAGGTACTCTTTCTGCTGATTTTCTCCACTGCGCACATAAGAGTTGGGTGCACAGGAAACTGGAGAGTGACTGCTACACGTCAAAACGAACAATCAACAACCCTTACCCAGCAAATTGGGCTCCATCGTGGCCCGCATCGAACATGGAGCTTCGAACTGAGAAGCTTGCCATAGCATACATCGAAAAGGTTGGCGAGTGGAGGGTCCCAACGAAGAGCTCAGCCAATCACATAGATGTCAGTACCAGTTGTCCATGGAGAATCTGAGCGAGACAGCGAGTGCCCTCGAGTAGTTCCTCCTTGCATTCCTTGTCATGATGTTTCTTTAGCATGAGATGTCATGATCGAATCTTGTCTCAAGCTCTGTTTTGCCAGCACGCGCGATTGGATGGCGTCGATCAACTGCTCCAGCTGGCGTCTCTGTCACTCTGGAACACTGTGTTGTGTGTGTCTGGGAGAAGACCCTGCCTGCACTGTCGGGCAAGGCAAGCAGGATGATACTATCGATCGCTCGCAGTTTTCCTCTCAGGATCAGGGGCAGTATTCAAGAAGGCAGTGTGGAGAAGCAGCTGCTCACGAAGGTCTTTGTCACTGGCTGCCATGCCACGCTTCCTAAACACTTCCAGTTGGAAGCTTACTCTGAAAACCACAGCGCTGAACAATTGGGCTTGCCTCAGTCGAGGCTCGCCTGAGGAGCAGATCGCGGGGACGGGTGGACATTGGTACATTGGATGCATCGATTGTCAGTCAGAAGCAAGCTTGATCTGTTTGCCTCAGGGCTGGCATCCTGGAGCCACACGTGTCGGCATCTGAACTGGCATCGTCGCATGGGAAGGGCGTGGTTGACAGATGCATGCATGGCTACAGGTATCCTCTCACCAATCAGTTCTTCGAGGAGGGACAGCGTGAAGTGTGTGCAGATGGGGCTCCGGAATTCAAGCCAGAGTTTCTGTCCTCGCAGGATCTTCAATATTGGATGCAATTGGAGAAGGCAGCCGCGCTACAAGTAGTTGGGGTGATCGCCAACATGCTTCCTGAAGTCTATGGTAGCATGCAGCGGCGGCTCGCCTTTCCCACACAATCCCGTCAACAACTAAATGGTCCCTTGCCTCCACGACAGGTCTTGGAGCGCTCGCATCTCGGTCTGCCGCCGCCTGGGCCGTGGTCGCTCTCTCTCCCTCTCCCCTTTTCTATTACTCTCTCTCTCGCTCTCTCTCTGACTCTCACATCACTTCCGACAGTTCGTGGAGTTGCACACGTTGAGTGGCAAATCGAGGCATGCCGGAGCCGAAAGCCAACCCTCTAAAGGCGCAGCGAAATCTGATGTCCTTGGTCTCGGCCGTTCCGGCTATGCCTTTTTGTTCAAGGCCGCCCTGCACAAGTGCCGGATAGAAGGAAGGCTTCGACAGTTTGGGCTCTTGCGGCAGCGATGGGCCTTGTGCGTCTCAGGTGTCCGGAAAGACTGCGAAGGAAGCACTGGAAGAAGTGGAACGGCTCTGCGCTCATGGACAAGAGTGACCAACCCGTCGCCTTGTCGCATTGCAGAATCGAGGCAGCGCCGGAGAAGTTCGAGGCAAAGACACCAGGCCTTGCAGTACGCACCTGCCTAAGCTCAAGGTCTCTTGGGGCGTGGCATATGCAGTTCAATGGCCAATCGCTACTGGTCTTATGACATGGAGGATCGCACCACAAGTGGCCAGCCGCAGAATCCTAATGGCGCGGCACAAGCAGGGTCTTTTTCGTGCCGTAGCTCGGCAGCCTGCACAACGCGCACTTCGCAACCTTTCGCCACCAACTGTGCAATTGCTGTTCTGTTCTGTTCTCCGTTTTTTGTGGACCCTCGATGCGCAGGCCGGGTGTTGTGGCACGACACGGTGCGTCCCAAAAACCGAGGCATTGAATTCGCACCTCGGGGCTTTAAGGCCTCCTCTGAACGGCCAAATCAGCGCCTGGCATTCTCTGTGGCAAGCCAGAGAAGCACCATGCAGACACTTGACCAACTGCCTTCTAGGCGGGAAAGGAGTTCCTTCCAGACGGATTCATAACAGGCAAGCCTTTACCGCCAAGCCTCCGATCGGCGCATTGACGGCGCATACACGAACCGGGGCTCAATGAAAAGCAAACTCAAAGCGTCTGTCCGAAGCACAAACACTACAAAAGAAGACGGTCAAGCAAGGGCAAATGCAATGGCACGGAAAACCGCAGTGGTGGTATTTCCAGCACCACGCAAAGCCCCAAAAGCACATGCGAAACATTTGTATGTAAGCTCCGGAAAACTGCTAGGTATTCCTGAATCGGCTATCCCAGCAAGTCCTACGTACTCAGCCTTCAGACTCAGCTCCTAGTATTGCTCTGGTTGAAGATGTCGTTTCATCTGGCGTTAATTGCCAGACTGCAACACCAGAACATCCAAGAGCCCCACCATGTCATCGTCAGCCTTTTGTCGACACAGAAATTAACCAGTCGTTGCTTGCGAGTGGAAGCCACCGGTGCTTGGCTTTCCGGCAGAGGATTGCCTGAGGGTAGAAACACCCACAGCCGCTGGACTTGTCCCTCGCCTCGTGAACGACACTGTCGCCCGCAAGGCCTTTGCTGGAGGCCTTTTGGGTCCAGTCTAACCTTGCCAACTGGACGGTAAACTGGCCCGTGTGACCACACTGCTCCTCCTAACCTGGGAAAACCAAGCCGGCATCACTCCGTTGTGTAGATCTCCTCACGAATCCTGTCGAAAGTCGAGCACCTCGGCTGTCGAGATAAAGTTGCTGGGCTGGCCGCGTTTCCAATCCTTCCAGGCTTCCTCGCTATGACAGCCAAAAGTGGCTGGGGCTGTCGCAACGGGCACATCCGGAGCAACTGTCACCAGTCAGGATCGCTTTGGAGTGGGACAAGTTCTCAAATCCGTGCCGCCAAGGACGCATCCCAGGTGGTGGTAGAGCCAATTGGCTGCAACGCCCTGCTGCAGGAATGCTATGTCCATGCTGAGCTAGTGGAGCTATGCAAGCGTACCGCCTTCCGTTCCACGGCCATGGCATGCAGTGCTGGGGCTGCCGAGATACCACTGTGTGGGGAATCGAACCCTACGCAACTACTGACTACTAATTCGGTTCGCCGCTGTCTGCTTTAGTGACATGCATTGCCACTATCTACGAGTCAGTAGTATGCATGTGGCTAGCACAGAACTAAGTGGACTTCGTACAATGAGATTGAATCTGGCCCCCTCGATGTGTGTTTCGATCATAGATCATACTTTCAAAGAGTTTGTGTCGAAGACCATTGCAGCTAGCTTGCCGAACCATCGGACTCAAGACCGCCCTCTGGGTCACCGAACCATCAGACTCAAGAATCCTCCAGGGACTGCGCCGATGCGCTCGCCCGCTATGTTCAAAAGACACGCTATCCTCAAATACGCATTGCCACCCCTATTTGTCTCCTCCAGAACCCCATTGGCAATACGTTTCTCCGTTCTCATTGCTTCCCCGGCACTCATTGCATTTCTCGGGGGTGGGGTGAAACACTGAATGTTACACATCCAGGTGCCTGTCTGTTTATCACTTGCATGTATCCATGCCTGTTGCTCAAGGTTCTAGTGCAGTGGACTACAGCAGACACCTGAGTGCCTGTGTTCCTGTACGCCTAGCGAGGGGATACACGTCCAGGTTACATCTCAACGTGGTAGCGGAGCTCCCGGGAAACGGGAAGCTTCACACTTGTGGAGGTACCCGTTCGGTACTCTCTACACAGGTGGAGGCAACCGGAATACCCGGTGTGCTTCACACAGGTGAAGGTGACCGGAGTCTTTCCGGTACACTTCACTTAAGTGAAGATAACCGGAAGAGGTTTCTCCCGGGGCTCGATCCAAGAACACCGCAATGGCTAGCCACTCTGCGACTATCTTTGAGCATGATGGAGGAGATGATGATTACCTCCTTCAAGGCAATGAGTCTTTTGCGACTAATCATCGTCATTTCAATGAACTACACCGTGTTTCAGCTTTCCAGCAGGTGACCACCAAAGTACCTCCATCTTATGATGGAAGAAGTAGTTGGTTCGCCTATGAGGATGCGATCGATGACTGGTGTGACATTACTGAGCTAGACAATGATAAGCGTGGACCAGCTTTGAGAAATCGGCTAGAAGGTGAAGCAGCAATCCACAAAAGGCTTCTCGACAGGGATCGCCTGAAGGACCCAAACAACGGAGTGAAGTACTTCAAGAGCTTCCTGCGGCCGCTCTTCGTGAAGGGAGCAGCGAATGTTTTCCTCTACCGCTTCCAACAGTTCATGAATTTGCACCGCAGGAATGGAGACATGCTTCGTTGGATTACCAGGTTTCAACTCTCTGTTCAGAGGATGCAAGAATCGTGGAACGACACCTACATGCCGATCGTGGACCCGAACCATGCAGAGGTCAGAGCCTTCGTAGCAGGACTTCCACCAGAAGAACAAGAAGGACCCACGGCAGAGCAAGCAATGGAAAGAGCCAACGAACGGCTCAGAGATCAGCATGCTCGGACCATTCCGATTACGGCCAACCTCGTTGCTTTGATCTTTGTCTCCCTGTCCGACCTGACACAGGATCAGCGGCAGGTGCTGACATCATTGATGGCACATCGGAACCGGGTCTTGGCTGACTACAACCTGACGGAGCTGCGTGAGGTCTACCTTGAGATCTTCTGCACGACCAAGACTACCGTCGACAATCCTCTCCTCGCTCCTTCGGGCCACCGTGGCCGCAAGACGTTCCTCGTGATCGATGAAGGACACTTGGACAATCATGAAGGCTACTGGGTCGAGGACGAGGAGGATGGCACAGAAGGTTTCCTGGAAGCAGATGAGGATGCCTTCTGGGTCTACGACGATGAATCCTATTCATGGTTCCAGCGGCGCTTCCAAGGCCGCAAGATGAAGCGCGGATTCAAGGGCCACCGCAAAGGAAAAGGAAAAGGTGGAAAAGGATCCAAAGGAAGGCGGTTCTTCAAGAAGAAGAAAGGCAGGTCTAGCCTTGCCGAGAATTCAGAAGCATGGCAAGCAGATGGACAATGGCAAGATTACCAGTGGAGCGATCAGTCCTGGGATGACTTGTCCTGGTATGAGTCAGAGGAGTCCTATGCCGCAAAAGGAAAAGGAAAGAAAGGGAAGAAGGGCAAAGGAAAGAGCAAGTTTGGCAAAGATGGAAATATGGAAAGTCCGGAAAGGATGGACAAGCTCAGCTTGCTGATTCTGCCCCGAGCGGCACCACAGCCGCCGCAACCTTCTTCGTTGAACACTTCAACTCTCCGAACCTTTCTTTCATGGCCACCGAAGAAAAGATCGACAGGATCGAAGAAGCTTTCATCTCTCAGCCCTTGACGCCGACCGCGATGGTGTTGGACTTGGGGTGTACGAGAGCTATGGCTTCCAGAGTGGCCGCACAGGACCTCATGGAGTTCTGTGATAAGAATCAGAACTGTGGCATTTGGTACACCATAGCTGAGACCACTTCTCAGTTTACCTTTGCCAACTCCGAGTCGACCAAGTGCAACCAGAAGTTGGTCATTTGCATGTACGACCGGGATTATGCAGTTCAATCCACAGAGTTCGACATTGTGGAGCAGGGGCATGTTCCTATTCTCATGTCCTTGCCGCAGATGCACAACCTTAGGTTCCAGTTCGAACTCCATCTGGAAGAGGCTTTGCTTAGCAGCCCTGTACTGGGAATCAAGGATGTGAAGCTGAAGGTTGCACCTAGCTCACACCAGGTGCTTGGCCTTCTCGATCTCAGTCAGTTGATGTGGAATGTGCGGTTCAACAAGCACAAGAAGTCGAGCTTCCTCACCTACTTCTCCCACTACGAGTACGGCTTCCATCAGAAGACCGAGGGATGCTATTCTCAGGAAGAGGTACCCGAGAATCTCGTGTTGGCGACAGATGATATTGAATGGGTGATCAACGAAGCCGACATGGAGATGATCCGCATCCACAAGAAGATGAGGATGGTTAAGTACGAACCCAAGGGGGCTCAGTGCCCATTCCCTTGGAGTACCTGGACAACAAGCGCAAGACGATCATGCAGTTCTCCAAGGGTAAAAGCGTTACTCAAGAAGATGACTGGCGTTCTTCTGAGCCTCCTACCTCAAGAACAACTGATTCTTGGAACGGTAGGACTATCTTCAAAATTTTGCCTGGAGGTATCGAGAGTAGGACATCAGCACCAGCTAAGTCCAAAGATCCAACCCGTGCTAAGGCAGGATCACCAGAGGACATGATTAACAAAGGCAAGCCTGAAGACAGCTCGAAGAAGGCAGGAGCATCCGGAAGCTTTCCTCAGGGAAAGGCACCGATAGCGAGAAGGATTCGAGCCAAGGGGAGCTTTCCTCAGGGAAAGGTACCCAAGGAATCGGCTCCTCCTCCTCTTGCTCCTGAGGATGATCCGGATCTTCAAGAGTACGAACCTTCCGAACCGGGAGATGCAGGTTTGCTTCCTCCGAGAGCCCCAGAGGCTCAGTCACTAGAACCTAGGAGGATCGCGCTTCCATTGCCAGGCCACGAGGTCTCCAGGGCTTCTCCGCAGTATCAGCGCATGTTGGAAAAGTTGAACAATGATGTTGAGCTTTCCAAATTGCATGTGAAGCATTACCACATGAGTTCAGCTCAGTTTCGACGAAGGACCAGCATGCTTGGGCTGCCAGGAGAGATCTTCTATGACAAGTACGACCGCATTGTCAAAGGCTGTCGTGTTTGCAGCACCTCCGTGCCTACGCCTCCGCGAGCCAGAATCGCAGGGCTGAGAGCATCATCCTTCGGTGATCTCATTTTTGTTGATCACGAAGAAATCAAGTTCGGCACTAAAGCCTATCTGGCTTTGGTCATCATTGATGGTGCCTCGAATCTCCGTGGGCTACGCCTCTCACAAGCCTGGAAGCGCCCGAGACTCTGGGAGCTTTTCGGCAATGGACAGAGGAGAACAACTGCATTCCTAAGGGAATCGTAGGTGATCAAGCATTTTTCACACCACAGTTCATGTCCTATTGCAAGTTTCATGGCATTACTCCGTATCCATGCGGGCCACGGACTCCTTGGCCTAATCGAGCTGAGACCGCAGTGCGTCTTTTCAAGCGCACATGGGCCATTATGGCCAAGGCCTTGGCTGATGAAGGTTATGCAGAGAAGTCAAGAAGGTGGCATGGGCAAGTCTCAGGTTATTCTCCTTTGGAGATAGCCACGGGAAGACGGCCACCAGACTTGTTTGACGTGGAGAACAGTTCTCCTGAACAGCTCTCTGCAGATCCTGCTGAGGAGGATCGAACCACTCTGGAACTCCAGAGGATTGCCATGCGTGCTCATCAGGAGGCCAGACAATCACTTGATCTCGGGAAGGACCTTTCGGGCAGAGTCATGCCGTCTGATGGTCCGTACACGAAGGGTGATCGCTTGTTTGTGTGGCACAAGGATGAGTCTAAGAAGAAGTCTGCAGGAACCTGGATCAGAGGTGTAGTTGTGTCACAAGAAGGAGCCATGGTTTTGGTTGAAGTTCATCGTGCCGTTCTTCGGGTGAATCAGTCGAAGGTTAGGCGTGATGGAGATCCTTAGCATGATGTAGCTATTCCTCTGAAGTCTGATGAGGTCCCGAGACGCTCTTCTCAGGAAGAGGTACTCGACCGCGTCGGCGACGATATTCTTGATCGTGCCGGTTCTGGGTTCTGCTATGAGCATGAGATCTGTTACCACACTCTCACTTCAGGTAAGAGCGATTTCGTTCAGATCACACCTCGCCTCGCCGGGCTTACTGCGTCTACCGTCTGTTCTGGACTGGATGCGAGTGAACCCGTGTTGTTTGGTGAATGGAATGCCAAGTCGATTCAGTCTTCGATTGAAGCCGCTTGGCAAGTGATCTTGAAGACTGAGCCTAATCACATCTTCATTCATCCTGTCATTCCTGACGAGTGGTCCAGGAAGGCTGCTAATGCCTTCTGGCACTGTTGTGCCGAGGTCTGCCGTTGGAAAGATGACAAGGGTGAGGGATACTTTGTTACCATCATGTATCCTTCTCATTCTGCGTTTTGGCTCTCCCAGAGCAGTCGCTCACTGAAGTGGAGAAAAGGACTTTCATTCATCACTTTCAAGAACCGCGGTGAGCGTCAGCATGGTGAGATCTCCTTTCTCACCAATTTGCCTGAGGGATCATTTGCTTGGTTGGAGTCGCTTGATGAAGGCTATGACTCTACCACCACACTTGATCCTAGGTTTGCTGTCTTGCTGTCACAGTGTCTTGTGGGTGATGAACGATCGGATCTCAGACGCGTACTTGTTCGAGGATATCTTTGAGGATTTCGACGATGGAACACTGTGTGCGTCTGGAAATTCAGAGGCCTTGCCGGATCTTCCCTCAGAAGCAGAGTACTCGTTGCTCTCCAACAATGACACAGGGAAGCTTCCGTCACCTCTGAAGTTTGTTGCTCCACAGCGTTTTGTTACATCGTCTTTGGTCCAGACTCTGTCTTACGTTGACAGTCTCCTTCCGGGTACTGAGTTGGAAGGTCAGACTACCACATCTTCCGATGCGGTCGCCTTGCGGCCCATGATTAAGAATGTGCGGGTGCTGACTCTCCCTTACCTGGAATTTGAGTACTGTAACGTTTACAGGGGGACTCAAGGGAAAACGCTTCCTTTGGTTCATCGTCATCCGGATGCTGTAGTGATTTTGTGGCAGAAAGGTGACATGGATCATGTGTTTTTCGTGACGATGGCGCAGTTGCTTCCTTGCCTCAAGGATATGCAATTAACGAATTGGTCCATGATAGTTTTCTGGAATGAGCCACAGCACAACACTTCCAGACGAGGGCCTGATGTTGGTTTGGACTTCACGGACCAGCCAGCGCCGGCCCCGGTTGCACCGCAGCCACCGGCCAACGATGATGATGTGGACCATCCTGGGTACGATGATCCACACGGCGATATGCCTGTGGACGACGAGGATATGCCGCCGCAACATCCTGAACAGGATCTTGACAATGATCCTGTTGAGTTAAATGTCGGCGGTGACCCTCCGTCACAGCCTCCTGGAGGCGGTACACAGGTACCGGTACCAGCGGGAGATGACGATTCGGACCTAGATCACGAGTTTGCCGGTGACTGAGGGGGAATTTCCTATCCAGCAAACCCCACTCCCGGTACCCACCCCGGAACCGCCGGTGCCGGAAGCTGGTGAGGATACTGACTCTGATGCGGTGGTTGACTATCGTGATGAGAGTTTGCTTGCCTTGGCTGCTGACGATGACGTTTTGATCCGCCTTCCGTCGGACTTCACGGTTCCGTCCTTTGTTCCGTTGGATGGTGATGATTTTGCATCTTGGTTGACCAAGCAGGATAAGATCAAGGCGGGTACCCTGACGCCGGAGATGCAGCGCAAGTATGCCGCCGAAATTCGCGCGGCTAAGCTTGCGGAGTTCAAGAGTTACTTGGACAACGATGCTATTCGGCTCACGGACCGCCGCAAGCTTAAAAGCGATGTCAATTTTCTTACCGGACGTTGGGTCCTTACGATGAAGGTTGACAAGAACGGTTACTTTTCCAAGTTCAAAGCCCGTTGGGTTTGTCGTGGGTTTCAGGACAAGTTTGCCTGGGACCTACAGACGGACAGCCCTACGGCTACTCGGTATGGTTTCCGTTTGGTTGCGCAGTGCGCTGCCAATCACTATTGGGATCTTTTTCATTTGGATCTTAAGACCGCGTTCCTTCAGGGGGAACACTACAATCTGTCATCTCGCATGGTTGTGGTTCGGGTGCCTCCTGACAGCGGTTTGCCGACTTGGATGGTCGGCCTCTGTCTCAGACCGGTCTATGGTTTGAACGATGCACCGAGAAGATGGTGGACTTGTTTGGATAAGTTTCTCCGGTCTTTTGGCATGGAACCGACTAGAGCTGACCGATGCACTTATGTCGCGTACGACGGCATCGAAGGCAAGAAGGGTAAAAGCCACCTTGCGGCAGGAAGCTTCTCTCAGGAGAAGGAACCTGAAGCAGGAAGCACCCCTCAGGAGGTGGAACCTGCCTACCTCAAGGAGGTTGCCCTTCATGCCATGACATGCTACGCATACGATGAAGGAAACCGTTCTTCCTCCGACCGTGCGGAGGAGAGATCCTATCTTTCATGTCCCGATATCGCTCAGGGCTTCAACACCGAAACCAAGAAGATGGTTGACTATGCTTGGAGACCTGTGACCGATAGCAAGCTTCTTGGGTTCTTGGGCAGTGTTGCTTGTAAGAAGAGAGGTTGGTTCCCTTATGAGAACGGACATGCTCTCGTCTCTCACAGGGCCAAAGCTCTTCGTACTCCTGCACCTGTCTATCAGGTCAAGGACTACCCTTACCGTGTTTCCATGATTCTTCGGAAAGGAACATGGTGGATCGTTGAGAGGGCCCATGACCTGAGGTTGGACAAGGGTGACAAGACCTGCTTCCTGGAAGGAGAAGCTGAGGTTCTCGTCTCCTTGTTCCTTCCCGAGAAGGCCTCATATAAGGTCGAGAGTTCGTCCGAACTCTCTCCCGAGTTGGTTGATCAGCTTCTTGCACACTTCGTTGACCCTGTGCATGGAAGTCCCAGCAAAGGCCGGAAGGCAGTTGGAGTGATGAGTCTTCATGTTGATGATCTCATCATAAGTGGGACCCCTGAGTTCCTCACTTGGTTCCTTAAGAAAATACAGGAACACTTCACTGTCGGTCATGAGGACAAGAACGACTTTACGTTCATCGGACAGCGTGTTCTTTGGGTTCTTGATGCACAAGGTAAGAAGAAGTACATATCGATCGATCAAAAGCTGTATGTTTCTGAGCTTGAGGAGATCGTCATACCTAAGCATCTTAAGGATGCCGATGCGTGTGACAAAGAGCTCTCCACACTGCTTGGTAGCATCAACTGGCTTCAGTCGAGGGCGCAGTTTCAGGCGTGCTATCAGTTCTCTCGCTTGGCTTCAGCATCTGCTGCTCCGACCGTCGGTCACTGCAAGGAGTTGAACAAACTGTGTCGACAGATACGCAGTGAAAAGGTTGAGTTGCGGGTGTGGCCAGTGAAGGGATCACCGAGGATTCTTGGACTTCCTGACGCAGCTTTTCGTAACAACAGCGACAAATCCTCACAGAGGGCGATGACTCTTTTCATCGCCGATGAAAGGGTCAAGAATCGAAGGGACTCCCGAGGCTCATTGGTCTTCTTCGAATCAACCAAAATCAAGAGAACAACCCTTAGCGCTACTGTCGCTGAACTTTATTCTTTGATGAAGTGTTTTGGTGCCTGTCAGATGTTTCGTGGTTTGTGGAAGGATATTAGTGGTCTTGATGCTGAGATTCACATGCGAACCGATGCTAACAATCTCGTGTCTACTGCTTCTAATACTCACTCACCCGAGCAACAGGAAACCATTCACATGATTCAAATGCTGAGAAAGGAAGCTTGTTCAGGGGCGATTGCTGATCTTTCTCACGTTCGAACCGAACATTGTTTTTCTGACTGCCTCACGAAACGAAGCGCTAATCCTAGGAACCTCCTGAACTCTGTTCAAACTGGGTGGTTAAAGGGTATTGATGTTTTACTCAAACCTGTTTACAAACTAACTGCTGCACTTTGAACTTGCTTTCAATATCAGATACTACAGCCACTTTTGCTCGCAGCTCGCAAAGCATATCTAGCAGACATGTTCGCGATCTTACTTTTCAACATCAGCATAGCATGCATGCTTTGCTTCAGCTTTGCATTTCCTTTTCATGGCACGCTTTACCTTTTCACAGCAATTTTGTAAGTCTGCTGTAGCTTGGCCCTGCTCCTTTCATGGATCGCGACGGCGAGTCGAGCACTTCTGATTTTGAAGTGCTTTCCGCTCACTTGAGCGACTTGCAGCAATCTCACGAGTTGCTTCAGCATCGTGTTTTGTACCTGGAGGGGCGTATTCGTGACCTTGAAGAAGGTGCTGCTTTCTCTGCTACTACTTTGTCAGGGGTCCAGAACGAGCAGCAACAACTTGCTTCGAGGTTGTCTTGGTTGGAGCGATTTGTGCAGCTTATTAGGCAATTTTTGGTGAGTCCAACTCCTTGATTGCTTTCGTGCTGCGGGTTATGACATCCTTTGTGAACGATCTTGAGGCTATTCGTTTGGCCTCTCAGAGCAGTCAGGACCCTCCAGGACCGTCTTTGGTTCCACAGGCTCCCAAGTGCACGTCAGTGGCTACACCTGTGGCTTCTTTAGAGCGGACCACTGGTCAGCCTCCCAACCAGCTTGTGCATATCGACGCTGAGGAAGGACTGCCCAAGGCATCAGGGAAGCTTTCCGCATCTTTCTTGGAGCATCTGGATAAGCTGCATTGCGAATCTTCTGATTTAGGTGGAGAACGAGCCGTCGTTCAGCCGGCAGATGGTCAGTTGCGCATGAGCTCTGTGGGCCTGCAGGATTCTCCCGCCAAGTCAGGTTCCTCAGCTAGCTGGGATCTAATCGCTCCAGATTCGCTTAATGCTTCTTCTGTTGCAGTGCCTTTGGTGTGCACGGTTAAGCGTTATCGCAAGACATCTCTGCCAGTGCAAGAAACTCCAGCAGATGTTTCGCCTGTGCTCTTGCAGGTTCGCCCCAAATCTTCCGGGTATAGGTCGCGATCTCGATCAGAGGAAAGGGCGCCTTTGTCCATGGCTGGCTCAGGTGATGGGGCGTCGCACGTTGACCACAGGCACAAGTTGAGTATTGGGTCTAAGATCCCACTAGGTCCCTTTCGACCCCTCCCCGCCCCTGCTCCTGTCCCTAGGTCCCGGGTTGCCTCGCCTTCGGTTGGGGGTAGGCCCGGTTTGTGCCCGCCTGTGCCACGAGCCAAGAATCGTGCAGCCTTCTATGCGAAGCACAATCGTGTGCCGCTTGTGGGCGGGACGCATGGGCTTTCTGTGCCTGCTGCCGTCTCAAAGATCGTATCTCCTGCAGGTGCCGGAGTGTCTGGCTCTGCGTCTCGAGGTACAAGGAATTCCCTGCAGGCACCTTCTCCGGTCGTTGGCCGGGCTGCTAAGAGTGGCGGCCTCACATTGCAACAGAGCGTTCACCAGCACCAATTTGCCAGTGTGCTTGTGATTTGGGAGTTGGTGAAGCCCTTGGTTTTGCCATTTTCTCCAGTTTTACAGGACTTGCAAAGCAGCGTGCGTGCTACAGATTTGGAGCTAGGGTTGTTGCGTACGGTAGCTGAATCCACAGCCTTGCGATATCTTCAGGTTGTGCACAAGTTCTTGGATCAGTTAAGGGTGCTTTGGAATCTGTCGTGGGACTCCGCCTCGCAATCGGCCGTTGTGGATTGCATAGTCTCCTTGCGACGGGATCATCAGGACTGCCATCAACTTAATGCCTTCAAGGCACTGCGCTGGCTGGCAAAGTTGCTTCGCCTTCAGGTGGATAATCTTTACGACGGCTTGTTCAAGCCTCTGGTGAACGTGGCAAGCTCGGGCAAGTTGCGTCGTGAGTCCTATCCTCTGCCTTGGAGGCTGGTCAGCTTCTTTGAGCAGGCACTGATCTTTCGGACGTTGCCAGTGCCTGCCTTGCTCCTTGCTGGGGCTGCGCTTTCTTGTATTTTCGGGTCGTTGCGCTGGTCTGATTCCCAGCACTTGCGCTGGGACAGCATCGTCTTCTCGGCATCCTGTGTGCGCGCCCTTATCTTCAGGACCAAGACCTCTCGGGCAGGGATGCCGGTAGGCTTTCGCGTTGCCGGGGTTCGCGGGGCTGAAGCCTCAGTCATGCAGTCATGGGTGGCTCATTATCTTGAGCTCTTGCCCAATGCTTGGGTTGAGATGAGGGCTGCCTTTGGTGAACTAGTTTGTCCTGATTGTTTGTGGTTCTCTTGGGATAGTCAATCGGCCACCTTCGCACCGCTTAGTTACGCCCAGTGTCTGCGCTTCTTGCGTGAGTCCGCTGTCGCGGCTGGCCTCTCGGAAGGTGTCCTCGAAGCGCCGAATTGTACGGCCGTGACGATATTTGGCCCGCACTGGGCGCGCAGGATGTGGTTTTGGCTAAGGTGCAGGCAGGATGGCTTCCATTGACGCCGCTGGCTCGTGGCGGGCAGGTTCCCATTCAGCAGGCATTGCGGGGTGTTCAGCCGTGTGCGTCTTTAGCCTCTTGCTTCCCGTTGCTACCGGACTTCAGTGCGGCTCACGATCCTGAGGCAGCCGCGGTGACGATGATGGCATCTCAGGTTGCAGCGGCGGACACTTTGTCCGAGCCGACCCAGGCGCCTTCCCAGACGCCGGCTGCTGTACAAGATTTTGATTCCTCTTCTTCCGACGGCGAGCCCGCAGACGTAGAGTCGTTGGGCGATGCTGAGGAGGTCTGTTTTCTTCGTGCGAAGTCGGGCATCATTCACATTGCTTCCCCGGCTCCCTCAGGCACAGGCGTGTCCTGTGGGTCGCTCTGGCTTAAGCCCGCCTGTGGCATGCTGTCTTCGGAGCTCGAGATGGTTGGCTCAGTGCCAACGGGGGCGCGGCGCGGCTTTGTCGACACAAGGCGTGTCAAGGGATTCTGTGTCGGTGCGTGTAGCGCCGGCACGCCCCCATTTTGCAAAGGCTCGGCGCGAGCTTACGGCTTCAACTTGTGTGCGGCATCTTTTCCATCAGCTCTGCAAGTAGCTGCTTTTAGCCTGCACTACATCGTAGTTTATGCAACAACATCGGAAAAAAAGAGTGTCCCGGGGTTTGGCAACAAACTGCGAGTATTGAGTGAGGCTCTGCATGCGGGCTTGTTTGCGTCGTGAAGTTTTGTTTTGGCTGAGCGATCTCGACCTGCGCGCGGAGGGATTAGCTCTCTGGGGGGCGATGGCAGCCTTCCCAGCTTTTGCGGCCGATGCAGGCCTCGCACACAAGCTATCAGATGCGGGCGTACCGCTAGCCACATTCCTCGCATCATTGCAGCCTGCGGGTTCTATGTGGGTGCGGCCTGTGCTGGCTTCACCCACGGCCGGTTTGGGCGCTGAGCTCTGCCGTGCCCAGCTCACTGCAAGTCCCCGTTACGGCATTGCTTCCTAGCAACGTTGTGGATTCATCGGCTTGCGATGTTGTGCTTGCAGGGTTGAGTCACATTTCGCCTTACAAGAGCTTGCCGTTGTTGGTCTTGTGAGGGCTTCTGTGTACCCGAGTACGATTTTAGCAGGTTTTTCTCATTTCGGGCACACTGTGGACCCCCAAAAGGAGTCATATGGGTGCTTAGCCTAAGCGCCCACTTCGGGGCAAGAGCAATTCGCACGGTGGGTAACCATGTGGGTTTGGCGCAATTTGTTGACTTTTCAGGGGTAGCCGCGCTTTTGCTTTTCGGGTTTAACCGATCTGGAAAAGTCAACTTGTTACATATCTGTGGTGTCCCCATCCGATGCGCAGGTGCCTTGCCGGTGGATCCCGATCCTTCGGTCTCGACGATGGCCTCCCTTCTTGCTTCGCATAACATACCCGAGGCGCTACACTACCACTTTGCGGAGTTCACGCCAGAAATCTTTGCTAATGTGGCAACGGATGCAGCGAGCCTGGATCGCTTCCTGGGTAGTCTCGTGGAAAACTTGGGTGCTGATCAGTTCGTTGTCGAGGCTAGGGTTCGGATGCTCTGGAAAGCCTGCGCTTCTCTCAACAGCTCCTCTTCAAAGAAGGAATCACCAGAGGAACCTACACAAGGTGGGAAAACCGATTCATGGGCAGACCCTTTCCCTGCCAAGCTCAGCGCTACTATGTGGAGGGCATGCGAGAGGACTTCCTGTCGTCTTATCCTTCGGAGCTTTTGTCGCTGGAGGAGACCCCGGGTTCAAGGTTGATGGCACTCGTGTACAGGGGTGTTTCGGATAAGTCTCTCAAGTGGCCGCAGTGGAAGCACCGCCTGTCCGTTGCGCAAGAACAGGCCCATCAGCTGTCCAGACCGTCGAAAATGCCTCGCTTGGAATGCCTTCTTTTCGACGATGTACCGACTAAGGAGGTGCCACATGTCCTCCAGTACGGTTATGTTTCAGGCATTTTGAACATGCATGCCACGGCACTGGCCTTGTGCAAGGCTGCTCACCTGTCGGTCTTAAAACGTTATGTGCGGTCGTTCTTGCGGTTGTGCTTCCCGCAGCTTGAATCCGGTTTTCGAGGTCCCTCGGTGAGCGAAGCTATTACTGCAGATGAAAAAGCATGGCAGGCCATCAACGAGCTTTACGCCTACCATGATTGGGATTTAGGAGATGCCGTGGCCGAGATCATTGATGTCCGCATGACGCTTCATGTGTACCTGCAGCCTCGTACCTCGTGACGAGGAACGAGTTACGACTATGTGTGCTAGCTTACCTATTACTACTCGAAGCTATCGAAGGTAGCTTCGCTAGAAACGAAGTTTCGTTCGCTATCGTCGCTCGCAGGAGAGTTGCCTCTGACATGCGAAGACAGGATAGCTGTGACTTGGAATGGCTACGACGGTGTGTGACCGTGGCCATTCTGGATAAAGTCCCCCATCAGGGGGGGTAATTTTGAAGTAGTGGGGGATAGAAGGGGAACTTGGCTATTCAGCCAAGCGAGAATGGCCTCCCCGCGCTCCCCTTCTGCTTCGCAGACGGCTAGCCCACAGTCTCCAGCTACTACGGTGATTCCGGCTAGTCCTGGAGGCGAGGAGCCAGGGAGTCCAACCGTCTTGCCCACGGCTGTGCCGGAAGAGCAGGGCGTTGGACCGGCTACCCCCTCCGGAGGGATAGGGAGCCCCATCGGACTTCCGTCCTTGCGGGATAGCGCTCTTGTGCAGAAGCGTGCGGTGCTGGATAGATGCCATGAGCATCTGGCGTCGCGGGGCTTCGGTGTGCTCGAGCTGGCTACCCTCGGCCTAGAGGACGCGGAGGATATTGGGCACCAAGTGGCCGAGGAGCTGGGCGTTGGCTACGACGAGTACATCGGCGACTCGATCTACCTGTGGATACAAGAGGCCCGGGAAGCTCGGGACCTGGTGGAGAGAACGTCGGGATACAGGGCGACTTCGCTAGCGTGGGTTAACCTCAGCAAGCGGCCGGCGATCGAAGGCATCGACCTTCAGGAGGATAGCGAGCCGGAGCCCCCGAAAGGGGATAGGCAGAAGCGCTTGGTCAACGAGGGCTCCCTGGCGCAGGCTAGGGAAGAAAGGCTACAAGCAACCTGGGCTATTAAGCTCAAGGAAGAGCTAGAATTGTGCGAGGCGCCAGTGCTGAAGAAGCTACAGGGGTGCCTGGACCCGGATAGAGCGGTGTTGGCGCTAGCGGGGAAAACCCGGGCTAGCACTCTCAAGCGCTACGTCTCGATACACGTGAGATGGCGGCTATGGCTACGGGAGGCTAAGAGTGGACGCCCCCCTGGGCTACCGGCCGACCTGGCCGACTACATCATGGCTAGGGGCGACGAGCCCTGCGGGCGAACGGTCCCCGAGGCGATCCTCAAGGCCATCAGCTGGATAGAGAGGGTCGCGGAATGGGCGACCGAGTCGAGAGCTACCTCAGGCAGGATAGCGTGGGTGATCAAGGATACGGTCGTCGAGAGGCTATCCTGGAAGGCGCCCTGGACGCGGCGAGCCCCCCGATATCCTGCGGCTATCCTGGCTAGGTGGGAGCGCCTGGTCCTGGATACAACTGTGGCCGTCGGCTGGAGAGCTTGGGCCTGGGCTAAGCTCCTAAAGGTTTGGGGCAGCTTGCGATGGTCGGACCTCCAGGCTATGGTCCCAAACGAACTGGCTATGGTGGAAGGTCGGCTATCCACCATCCTGCGACGGACGAAAACCACCGGGGCTAACAGGCGCATACGGGAGCTACCTGTATGCATCTCGGAGAGAGCCTACTTCGAGGACCCTGGCTGGCTACAGGCGGGCTTCAACCTGCTAAAGAACCACGCGGGCTACCAGCGGGACTATCTCATGCCCAGGCTAGGCGAGAGAGGCGCCCTGGAGAAGAAGATGGCTACCTACGCAGATGCGATGGTGGCAACAGCGGGGCTACTGGCTATGGTGGGGATCCCGACGGTTGCCCGTGGCTACTGGTCGGAGCACAGTGAGAGAGCAGTGCTACCCACCGGGCTGAGCCTAAAGCCGATCCCGCCGGCAGATAGAGATATGCTAGGACGCTGGAAGCCCGAGGGCTCGGATACCTACATCCGCTCCTATGGCGGAAGGGTCGCCCGACTCCAGGCTATCTATGCAGAGGCGGCTAGGGCCCGGGACCGAGAAGAGCAGCTAGATGAGAGGGAGATAGCTGGCGATCTTGGAGGCTGGCTTTTCCGGACCCGCAAGGCTAGCGAGCAGGAAGCTGAGAAGCTGTCGGGAGAGCTGCGACGAGAGTGGGCTAGCGAGCGCATCGTGGAGATGGTGGCTGGTCCGGGGATACCTGAAGAAGTCGTGGCGAGCGATCCTCCCGAAGATAGACCCGACTCCTCGGCTAGTGAGCCGGAGCTGGGACCGGAACCCAACCGGAACCGGCCGAGGCAGCTCCTTAAGAAGGCTAGGTGCACGAGCTATATCATAGTTGAGCTTCCAGGGAAGAAGTACAGGCTACACAAGGGGGGCCAGGCCGGGTGCTGGATGGGCCGCCGTAGGATATTTAAGAACTCCCAAGAGTTTTCGGCGAGGCCCGAACCCAACCAGTACACGCATGTCTGTAGGCTATGCTGGCCGAAAGGCCGAGGCGAAGAGTCCCCGTCTGGTGATAGCGACACCTCTCAGGCTAGCACCGGCGACCAGAAGCCGGAGCAGGGATAGGAAGAAGATTTCGGAGAGGTCCCAGCAGCAGAGCTGCAGGGAGTACCTCCGGGGATAGTACCCCAGTTGCCGATGGCTCCGTTGCCGGCTGTTCCGTTCGGCTGGGGACCGCCTTTTGCCTGAAGGGATAGAAACGCCGGGAAAGCAGCGGGGCTGGACAACGGGGGGATACGTCCGGGGGGGGCCTCTCGGGATTTGCTCTTTCCTTCCCATCTCTCCGGGGGCGGCGGGCCCAGGGGGAGAAAGAAGGGGAGAGAAGAGAGGAGAGAGAGAGGAGAGACTCACGCTGTTGCACTTGCTGTCTTGTCTGCTGGCTAGGACGTAGGCTGCGAGGTTCTTTGGCAGGCTAGGCTGCATGCGCACATGTCCGGCTGAGTGTGCACTTGTGGGCTAGGGCACGGCACAAGTGCACTTGCTGCGGCTACTGTGGCTAGGGTGGAGTAACGGACCACCAGCTTTTCTGGAGAGCCCACGCTAGGTGGGCGAGCCTGCGTGCCCTCGGGCCGGCTAGCGGCACATGGCTACTGCCCCCAGCTGGGCAGACCAGACTGAGTCGGCTAGCGTCCAGGCGCAACGGATAGAAGTGCTACGCCTCTTAGAGGACTGGCTAGAGACTGACCCGGCTAGCTTGGCCGAGCAGATATACGATCGGCTAGTGCGAAAGGCTAGAGACATGAGGCTAGCCGAGTGCCAGGAGGGAGCTAGCATACAGCCTGGCGGCCGGCTATCTGCCAGGCTACTCAAGTTCCAAGGAGCTAAGTCTTGGGACGATATCTCTGCGGAGCTCGAGGCTAGCCTGTCCACCACCGAGGCTAGATACCGTGAGCAGAGGATAGAGAAGAATCGGCAGCTGGCCGGGCTACGACCACACCGACCAGGGGAGACCCTGGAGGAGGATAGCGTCACGGATAACGAGCTGGAGGCTACACCGTGGCAGGGGGAGGCCCCGGAGGCTACCTGTACTAGCTTCACCCCTTGTGGTCGGTGGGCCGGGAAATGGTTCAAAAGCTGTTTTAAACATAGGCAACTGACGACATAGTCAAAACAACTCAAATCCAGCTTGGTTTCTCCAAGGCCACTGGCAACATGGTTAAAAATCCCTTTGCTTATGCTTTTCCAAACCAAATGTCATCAAACATGTCCACAAACTGGGCAGTTTTTTGCACCCATGCTACTTTTGAAGAAACATGGTTTGTAGGACACCAGGTTCAGGCTGGAGGTGTAGGGAGGGTGCCTATTAGCGGTAGCGGCCGGCTGCGACCCGCGCCCGCTTCTTCGTGGAGCAGCCACTAGTACCCCAGACGGGGGAAGCTAGGAGGTGCGGATTCGATTCGGATGAGATTCGAAATTCGATTCTTTTGCTACTTTGAAAGAGAAGCAAGCGGTTTGTAGGGCACCGGGTTAAGGCGGCCTGGGGTTTAGGTTTAGGCTAGGAGGGGGGAAGGAGCCGATCATGCCATTCGAACGTAGGCTATCTTGAATTTCGAAAGCAAAATGTTTGTAGGGACCGGGTTGGAGGTTTAGAGGACCGGGAGGGAGGGAGGGAGGGAACCCTGAGGAAGCCGACGGCTGCGAGAAGCTTAGGAGTCTACATGTAGCGGTTGCGGATGAGTTTTATGAGTTTCGTTTTTCGGTGCAAGTCAGGACCTGTCAAGGACGAAAGAGCAGAACTGCAAAACTAGAATTTAGCAGTTGGCAGGATCAATCAAGTGCTTGTAGACTCTTCTAGCGAGGGGTTTTCGGGATGTTCGCTGTCTGGCTGCATGGTTTTCCAGACACTTGGCGGCAGCACCAGCTGAACACACATCAGATCACGCAGAATCACAGATGTTTTTTGCTGGTTCATGCCTGCTCTTTGACTTAAACTCCAGACTTCTGGCTCAGGTCAGGACCGGTCAAGATCTGGGAAAATCCAACACTGAATGAGCAGAACTGCAAAAACTAGAATTTAGCAAGATCGAAATGTAGTATCAAGTGCTTGTGGCCTTTTGTAGACTTCTAGCGAGTGGTTCTCGGGATGTTCGCTGTCTAGTTGCATGGTTTTCCAGACAACTGGCGGCAACACCAGCAGAACACCAAACAAATAAATGTTCAGGCTGCCCAGGAAGGCCGGAGGCTTCGGGTGATGCTCAGAATCCAAGTTCAAGCCGTGGGCTTGGTGCAAACACTTTCTGTGTGGCAGGGGCCCTTGACACGTTTACCCTCCCTCACCGTTCTGTCGAGACGCTCGGCCGGGGGCTTCGGTTGGAGCCTCGAGCGCCCAATGGTCAGCGGTGCTCTCGGCACTTTAACGTTTAGGGTTTAGGGCTTAGGGTTTAGGGTTTAGGATTTAAGGTTTAGGGTTTAGGGGTGCGCTGTTTTCAGAGTACAGAGATCTGGAATCTGCGCCACGATGAGTATGGGAGAGTCTGCCGTAAAGACCTTGATAGGAACAACAACGTTCACTTTGCCGGTAGGACCTCGCCTTTGCATCCTATATGCGCCAGTCATTAACCTCTCGCAGATGCAGTTGCAGGCACAACCTCCCGAGTCAGTCGCCCAGTGGTGCT